CACAAAAAAGGAGGTTTATAACCAACATGAACCAACCAGAAAGGGAATGGGATATGTAGCACTACCACTGTACCACAAAAAATGCATTGTTGCATAGAAACCGATTAAGGATCAAATTAGGCATCAAAAATAAGTAATGGGAATAAGATGGGACATGTGGTTAGAATTGAATGTAATTTAGTGGGGATACCTCACGGATTATATAAACAACCTCAAGTGTTTGTGCATCAAACGGGAACTTTAAACATTAAACATATGGTTCCAAGCAATAGTTCATGCATGATTCATAGATATTAGTTGGGTTATATGTTTGGTGTTAATGGCATAATAATGAACACACTAAAAATCTAAAAGACGGGTCGGTTTGAGAATGGGGTATGCCCACCCGTCATGTCTTCATGTGTTTTTTCCCCACCTGCCAGGTGAGGGTTGTTAGATTTTATCAGAGCTGTTGCCCTCCTCCTCCTCTCCGCCTCCTCCTCCGCTTCGTCCTCCTCCTCCTCCGCCTCCTCGTCCAGTTTCTCCTCGACCATGTCTGCGTCAACTTCCACCTCCACTTCCGCCTTGCCAACTCTTCGCCAAGCTCTTCGCCAACTTCCGAGCTCAGTGCGCACTGCTGGACCTCAACCTGGGACCTTCCCAGCTCAGTGCGCACTGCTGGACCTCAACCTGGGACCTTCCCAGCTCAGTGTGCACTGCTGGACCTCAACCTGGGACCTTCCCAGCTCAGTGTGCACCGCTGGACCTCAACGGGCAGATAGAAATGCCAGAAGATATGCCAGATACAGTGCCAGAAGATATGCCAGATAGAATGTTAGAAGATATTCCAGATAGAGTGCCAGAAGATATGCCAGATAGAATGTTAGAAGATATGCCAGATAGAATGCCAGATAGAATGCCAGATAAAATGTCAGATAGAATGCCAGAAGATAGACAAGTGCCAGAATGTTTGCCAGATAGAATGCCAGAAGATTTGAGTAGATAATATGCCAGGAGATATGCCAGATAGAATGCCAGAAGATATGCCAGATAGAATGCCAGAAGATATGTCAGATAGAATGCCAGAAGATTTGCCAGTAACAAAATGTATAAATGTCATGGTGGGGATCACACGACGAAGTAAAGTAGTTTTTGTTTTGCTAGATGTAGTTTTGATTAAGCATGTATTTTTGGAGTCCCCTATTTGGGTTTGTTTGATTTCGTTTGGCAAAAGCTGAGCTCCAATTGTTCATCATCATTGGTCCATTGGTCCCTTTCAAATGGCCGTAAGTTGGGGGGGTACCAAACAGGTACGTCACTTTTGATCCAACAAGGTAGCCATATCAATATGGAAGAACCCCCCAGGACGCAAGGAATTCCAAGCATCAAAGCTGACCCATCTGGAACTGGTAGTCCATGAGCCCCAAATTTTGCATATATAATATTTGTCCATCCAACATTGACCAAGTGTCATTTGTGCCACGATCACCGCTCATTCATGGGGGCATTGATATATATATATATATACGTAGATATATATGAGCCACCGCAAAAACCCCGGCAATACTAAATATGTATTGGACGGACATTGGTTTATGGAAATTGATGGAAATTATTAAAAACACATGGTAAGTGATGGGACCTTCCCAAATTAGCGATACCCCTCTTCAAGGTTATGTCATTGTATGTCTCTAATATCCACATTAGCGATACCCAAATTGGACGTTGATTTCTGTGAATTATATATATATATATTTAAACATGTAGCAGTTTCCTGCAAGCGATACCCCCCAAGTTTACCATATATCATTATTGTACAAACATGTGGTAAGCGATGGGACCTTCCCAAATTTGTGGATGTCCTTTCCGTGAGCCCAGGGTTATCGAGATTGCTCATATATATATATATTTATATATATACATGTATCCACATATATATATATATATCCATTGTTGGAATTCTCATTCATGATGGGACGGATGACCATCCCCCATGGTTTTTCATGCATTGATCATTTTGCGTCCGACAGTAACCGTAACCCCAAAGTGGGATGATCCTCCAAGTGGGTATGCAGAGTTACCCGGCCTGGTAAACCTACAAAAAACTATTGAACATGGCCATTTAAATAGTTGATTTACCCATTAATAGTATGGGGATTTTCCATAGTTGCGTTAGTTTACCAGAGGGTATATAATGTTGTATAAAACCCCCAAGATAACTAGTTACCCTCTGGTAAACTAACAGTTTGCTATGGAAAATCACAATTTTTAGTGGGTAAATCAACGAACTAAATGGTTATTTTCAATAGCTATATGTTAAATTACCAGAGGGTAGTGACCCTGGTGAAGAAGTATATCAGCCCCCAAAGTGGTTTTACCCCATTTCGAATAGCTCGCTTATATCATGTTTTCATCCCAACCAATTACGACGTTACCCTCTGGTAAACTAACGTAACTATGGAAAATCACCATGCTATTAATGGGTAAATCCACTATGTATTTCTATGGCCATTTTCAATAGCTATTTTGACATAACCAGAGGGTATATTCCATTAAGTGGATTATAATCCCATTAAACCCCATTAAACCCCATTGAATCTCCATATCGTGTCACGTTTGCCAAGGAAAGGTCTGCCTTGAAACCAAGAGCTCCACTTTCGGTGCTGCCTGGGACCGATCAGTACAATCAGGCGGGACCTTTTTCAGTGGCGGTGTGTTGTCCCTTACAAGTCGTGAGGCCCCCGGCCACGAAATCGCGTTCAGTTGGTGAACATAAAACTCCAATTTCACTATGGTTTATGGTACTTATAACTATAGTTACTCAAAAAAAACAATGTCACTATGGTTTCTGGTACACAAATTTCACGAACTATAGTATTCCTGGGGCGAATCATTCAACCAACGTTCACATCACAACGGGGGGCCCCACATTGTAAGAACTGGTCCTTTAAGGTCAAGGGGAAATTGGAAAATCAAGCAGTGTGGGGCCCCAAACGAAAAGTTGGCTAAACCCATCCAACTATATTAACATCAGCTATAGCTATACCGATGAACCCAACACCAACCTTGGCCAGTTTAATCAACTTAGCGATGCTGGAGTTCCACCTTGTGACGAGGTTGTTTTTCACATTGTATGTATATATATATATATATAGATGATATATACAATATGACCTCACATACAAATTATAAGATAATCGTTTCATACATACAGTATATGATTACATAGTGTATTATATAGCATAAATATAGCAGCATAGTACATAGTGTATATTGAGTAAGGGTAAGCAGCCCAAAATGGCCTGTTTTACATTGTTGAATTATTCTAACTTATCCATTGAGTACGCGCTATATTAAGTTTTTTTTGATGGGTATAACGTGTTTGAGCGCGCTTTACAGGGGTTTTGTTGACCTGTTAAATCTCTTTTGCATGGTTTGACAATGCATTATCAACACAGGAGTTTAATCAAATTTAGCAGGATTTCAGAGAAGTTGTGACGATTCCAAAGAAGTTGTCATGATTCAAGAGAAGTTGTCATCGTTTGATAGAAATTGGCATCGTTTCACAACCCCTCCAAAAACGTGCATGTTTGACTGCTCCGGAATGAACTGCATTTGAACCACAAATTTCATGTGCAGCCATTCTAAGAGCCCAGGGTTTGGAGCACTAAGTATACCGATGTATATGTCGGGGTTTCCTCAAATGGGGGTACCCCAATGGCTAGATGCTTTACAATAGAACATCCATGTAGAAATGAATGGATGATTTGGGGGTTCTCTAATTTAGTAAAACCCACATACAATCTATATATATATATATATGTATAGATTTTAACATATATTATGATTTATGTATACACCACATGCCTCTAGCATCATTCTAAAGGTTCTTTTTTGGCAGTTGTCCAGCCATGTGTTCCAGGGAAGTGGATTCCACAGTGGGTTTGCATCTTCGAATGCTTCGGTGGTGCTGTCGTCTATTCCATGGCTCTTGGGCTGCATCTAGGTCCAATCTGAATCCCAGCAGCGCCAGGGGTGCCACGTGCTGCACAAAAACCACCTAGAATTCAGATTTGACGCGTTATGTATATATATATATGTATGAACATAATTCTGTGAAATTATTGTACATGTATCTCATGTATCTAAGCATATTTAAACCATGTTTTTAACCAGATGACATGTATGTTTTGAACCACCTTGAGGCATAGATTTTCCAGCCGAGCCAGCCTGGGAGTGACGTTGCTCGCTTTGCAGGTCCTTGGAGATGCGTTCTCCTCGTTGTTGCAAGGTGCAGGAGCTGCAGTTCCTTCCTTGTTGGTCAGCAGGTGGGAGGAAAACGCTTGGCTGACCGTAATACGGATGGATTAAGATGTTTCAAAATTGGAGAATGATGGGTTTATATGGGTGCAAACCTAATATCTATGAATATCTTAGAGATGATGGGTGAATATCATCTAATATGTATACGTATGTATATATATATGAAACTATCTTAGTTTTTTCTTTTCATGATTTTTGGAGATAAGATGAGATAAGTTGAATCTGAAGATTTTTAATTCCTAGCTTTGGGGAAGGGGTGGACCGACGGTGGACCGAGCTTTGGGTGGGTAGTGGCTTTGGGGTTCTGATTTTAGTGGTACCTGACCATCAGGAGATTCAGAAACTAATTTCTGACAGTTGATGTTTATGGCTGATGTGGTAAACAGATGTAAACAGATGCAGCAGACCTTTTTTTTGTTGATTTGAAGAAGGTTGTTTTTTTGCATTTGTGGTCTTCGTCCAAGGGCAGTAGATTCAAAAACCCTGATACTTTTGTGGTTCCAATCACCGACATCTTTCCAAGTGAATTCTGAATGTAACTTTAGTTAGAAGATGGCGGTCATAAAATCAGCTGTTAGGCATCCACTTGTGTTACAGCTGATTTTATGACCGCCATCTTCTAACAGCTGATGCCTAACCTGGAAATGGTTCTTTTTTGTGTTTGACAAAAAAACATCATAACTTCGTCCAAGGATTGGCTTGTGAGTTGTACATCCAATGCCATAAACCATCCCATTGACCATGACTTACCCGGCTTGGTAATGACTAACAGTTTGCTATTGAAAATTGCCATTTATAGTGAACTTTCCCATTAATAGCATGGTGTTTTTCCAGTTTGTAATGTTATGTAAACGTTTACCAGAGGGTAACTTCATCATGTTTACGTCATCCCATGTGTTTTTTTCCCAAAATGTTCCAGAGAACCGGTCCTGGGGACGGTGACAGTGGCTCCTATAGGTCATTCGTCATCCTGGGATGCACTGAAACTGACAGACGGTACCCTCTGGTAATTTAACGGTTTGCTATAGAAATAGTGGATTTACCCCTTAATAGCATGGTGATTTCCAGTTCGCTTTTTGTATTTTTACCAGAGGGTACCCTAAAACAGAACGACTGACAGGGTACCCTAAAATCCCGATAGCCAACAGAACGAGTACAAAAATATGTGATTACTCTGTAATGACTTGCCGAACTTCAGCGGACGTTTTTTTTTTTAACGTTGTTGCTTCATTGAACGTGGGAACAGCACACCACTGTTCTGTGCAGGATACTGTTTTGTTCACCCTTTGGTAATCTAGCTGGGCGATGGATAATGATTGTAATGTCCCTTGGTTGTTTCATGAAGATTCCCATTGCCTGCCACGCTTTTTCAGTCTCATTGTGTTGAACATATTGAAAGTACAATGTGGGCCCCCCCCAGTGATGTGAACGTTGGTTTAGATTCGCCCCAGTAACTATAGCTATAAGTACCATAAACCATAGTTATATTTTTTTTGAACCAACTTAGCTATCGAACGGGGGCCTCACATTGTAGAGAAGTGGAGGTTCCATGTCCTTCAAGATGTTGTCATGTCATGCAGGATGAACTGCCCATAACTCCCCACGTTTTCCGAGCAGTTTCGGGATGGAAACGCTGGCGGAGCTGGCAGGTCAGGAGTGATCCTTTCTCTATCTGCCTTCGTCTTATTTCCACTCTGCTGTTTGCGATCCTTTGCGCAGCTGGCGCCTGGTTCTGGATTTGAGCGATGGCATAAAAAGGGGGCCATGGAAATAGATGTTTTATGCAGATGGGTTGTGGCCATAGATTTTTTTTTCAGAGATTATGAATCGGTGAGCCCGGTGAGCACCGTATATTCCTCTCAAGATTCTATATGTTTTTTTTTGCAGGGACTCATTACTTAAACAATACCCAAAATTCTGGGTGACCATGTGTGCGGACGATAACTCGTCGTTTTCGGTTTACAGACAGAAGAATCCACACACTGATACCAAAATTGGTGTTTGGAGCAGGGAAAAGCACTTGTCTAAAGTGTCTGCCAGAGTGCCCCAATTTTTGACAGACGTATAATTCTCAGAGGGTGAACAAAGACGGATGGCTGATCATACATGGTCGGTTAAATTGCTCACTAGACTCACGGTCGATTTAAATGTGGAATGTGGACCATGAAGTTCACAAGAGGTGATGTCGAGGGGTTCGAGTGACGTGCACATGTGATCTCTTCGACATGAAACATTAGACATTGCAGTGTACGGATGTGTACGGGATGTGTGAGATTGGGATGAGTGGGTTCGAGTTGCCTGCTGCATCTTCAAAATAAATCTATACTTTGTGGCACATACACTACGTATCAGTGGACAGTCCCAATAAGTGTGCTGGGTTGGAGATTTCAATTATGTTGCTTTTGTTTGTGATTGCCATTCCTACTGGGGTGAATGATTCGAGTTGATTTTAGTTGAGCAATGCACGAAGCTTGTGTCAATTGATTGATTGATTCATTGATTGGTTGGCTGGTTGATTGATTGGTGGATTGGTTGGTTGGTCGGTTGGTTGTTTGATTCATGGTATACCCTCTGGTAAACTAACATAGCTATTGAAAATCACCATTTTGAATAGGTAAATCAACTATAAATGGGCCATTTTCCATAGCTATGTTAAATTAGAAATTACCGGAGGTTATTAGGGTTCCACCGACGGGCTTAACCAGCACTGGAATCCGCTTGGAATCCTCTCAACCAACCACTAGTAGCTGCGGAGCTGAGAGAAGGTGATCTGGCTCAGAATTGAAATTGGGCACGGTGTGGAATACCCATGGTGAAACCCGTTTAGAAAATGATCTACAAATTGTGGGTGTTCCACATCTACGTTGGTTAATAATGACTTGGGTTGGCTTGACGCATTTTATCACACTGAATTCGGATGGACGAAATTAAGAAGCCAGACTTAGCTAATAGCAACCCATTGCAACCCATTGCAACCCATAACAAAGTGAATGCCTATACATGGTGCGTCGAGTGCTCACCAATTTAACCTAGCCTAGCTGGATTCTGCATCGCCATTATTCTGTCAGCATTCTAAGTCTCATTAAAAAAAACTAGTATGTCCCCGCACTTTAAGATTAGTAATCAGTGACAGTCAGTCACTGGCAGTCTGCAGGTTTTGACAAATTCCAGTTAGCCAAGTGGAGGAACATCCCACTTTGTTCATAACCTTGGTGGCTTATACAATGTGAGGCCCCCCAGTGATGTGAACATTGGTTTAGATTCGCCCCAGTAACTAGTTCGTTATAAGTACCATAAACCATAGTTATTGGAGTTTTTTGAACCAACTTAGATATCTTGGGGGCCTCACATTGTAGCATTCATATATAAGGGAAACTAGTACCACTTACCGGTGGCGATTCGAAGGGTGATCCTCCAAGTATATCTGATTTCATTCAATTCCAATGATATTGCTATCTTATTCCCATCTTATTCCATCGTAATATATTGGTATAATATACTATATTATCGATATATCATATATATTATAACGCAATTATATAATAAAACATAATAAAACTAATGTATATATTATAATATATTTGTGTATTAATTATAGATATCCGTTATATCAATATACTATGTATAATAATAATGATTATCCATGGTAATATAAATATCTATGTTCCCATCCTATTTCATTGCATCCCCACTACCTCCCCATGATCTCCCCATGTTCGTCCACCGAGGCTAAGTTTTCGTTGTTGGGCACGCTGGCGACGAGTTATGTCGTCACAGGGCTGAGGGACCAGGGACTGCCTGGAGGATCACCAAACGAATCGGAAGTGGTGAGTTTTTGCTCGAGGTTTGATCCACTTGTAAAACTGGTGATCTATGGTTAATAATGGTTAATATTAATGGTTAATAATGGTTAATAGCAATATATCTGGTTAGTGGTTTGGAAATGTTTGGAACATGTTTTTGTTTTTCCATATATTGGGAATTGATCATCCCAACTGACCTTCATATTTTTCAGAGGGGTAGGTATACCACCAATTAGAACATGAAGAATCCTCTTAGGGGAGTTACTAAGTGTTATTAAATGTTAACATTAACTCGACTATAATTACAATAATAGTACCCATAGGATCCATGTATGCCATATATGGTAACATTTACCATTAATATACCCCAATGTTAGCACATATACCATACATGGATCCTATGGGGTAATAATAGTTACTAAGTGGGATGATGCTCCGGTACGACCATGGTGATGACCCCTGAGATTTGGCTGTTTTTGTGGAATACCCGTTGTATCCCACGGTGGCTCCGGGGCGAGGTCCCCCACAGATGAACCACCTCCTAACTTCATGGATCATTCGGGAAAAGGTGCTGTATGGTGTAGCAAGTCCTCATTCTCAAGCGATTTGCTGGGTGCGACCGTATGGGATGAGCGGGAAAAGACCTGAAGCAACAGATATAGCAACAGATATTAAATGGATTGGTTTAAGGGAAAATCTACAGGAAACCATAGATTTTCCCATTAAATATGGGTTTTCCTGTAAAATTTCCCTTAAACCAATCCATTGATGATATGCGCCATGGTTTCTGGTAATCATTGTGTTAACACAATGAAGTTTACCCTCCGGCAGTCAGCTCCATCCGGTATTTAGCTTGCTCCATGGCTGGCAAGCTATTCAGTTGGAGAATTTTCACAGCGAACAAAAACCTCCATTTGCTTCAAGGGTTTTCATGATTTTCCAGCTAGCCATGTTTTATTAACGGATGATAAGTGAACAAACCTGAATGTAAGTTGGTGGATTCTGCTTTATCATGGTTCATTCATTTTGATAAAACATCTTGTGTTTGCAGTGTATCTAAGGTTAGTAGGGTCATTAATCCACTAATCATACAATTAGCATTTATCCAACCCCCCCCAAAGCACGACCCCCCCCCATTCGTAAGGTTGCGTGTTGAAAGCGTTTTGAATCGTTTTAAGGGTTTGTTAAACCACCAACAACAATTATAAGGGCTTATTATGGCTTATTAACACTTTTTTTTTGCGGGTTGCCGCAAGGGGTCGGTTTTTCATCCCCATTAATGACTCACTTGCTGCAAGCATTTGGTTCTTTGAGATTGGGGCCATACCATGGGCCAGCCCCCCAGTTACAAGTTCATTTACAAAGACATTGTATAGATTATTATAGAATATCATGACCAACATAGTCGAAGCAACTTAGCTATCAAAATCATTCAAAATCCAATCTTCATTTGTTGTGGTTAAATATGGTTAAATCAACATTTTCATGGAGTACCGCAGCTTGACGCCATGCCATTTCCATCTGGGCATGGCCTCAATGCTACCAGGTAGTCTTCATCGTGAAGCGTTTCCTGGACGGAAGCTACGCGCCGGGTGGGCAGTTCTTTAAAGCTGCGCACGCTACAACGACCGCGGCCACGGGGATGTTCAATCCGCAGATGTCACTTGGTGAAAATTCTCAGCAATCCCCTGCTAAGATGGCCTGGAACTATGGGGACTGAAGCAGGGGGTGGAAAAGCAACCATGTTGAATTATCTTTTGCTGGTTTTCTTATGGACATGCGGGTTTCCAACTTTTGCCTCAGTTTACCAGAGGCTATGTATATATTATATACATATATAATATGTATCTATGTATATACATATATATACATATATATATATATACATATATACAGTATACATACATATATATATATATACATACAGTATACATACATATGTATATATATATATATATATATCCAAGACACTGGAATGGATGAGCATTTGCGTGTCTACATGTATACTCTTTTACCCCGTACCCATCCGTACCCCGCGTTTGGTGGGTCACATTGACCAGAACAAGAGTGATTTGGGTTATATAATACATACATGGGGTTTCCATAGTCATGGGGTATCCCAATAGCTGGTTGGTTTATAATGGAAAATCCCATTAAAACGGAGGAGGATTATTTAGGGATACCCCCATTTCAGGATACCTGGGTAAATTATAACGACCTCACTGTTCCCCTGAAGCCTGGAATCATGGTTAATAAGATATGCGAGGAATCATCCCAAAATGACCTTATTTATTTCATTTTTTTTTAGAATTTACCCAGATATAAAACTGCACTTATCAACAACAAAATGGTTGGTTTATAATGGAAAATCCCATGAAAATGAATGATTTAGGGATACCCAGATACATAGCTTCGTGGAACATATGCATCCATATGGACCGGAAATATCGGAGCCACATTTTGCACTCGCCACTGTTCTCAAAGAAGGAGCAACATCTGACATTAGTCCAGAGATACGGATGGTTGTTTCGTTTTGTTTGTACTAGTGCATTAGTTTTTAGACAAATGTTTGTACTAGTCGGCATCTGAATACTTTATATACTTTATTAGTGTTTTTGTTGTTTGTACTGGCGTAGGTACCGCATTTACACTTTGTCTGCTGTGATTCAGCAGAACATAATTTTGTACAATATTATACATATACAAATACATATGATATACAACATATCTCAGCATACATTATATAAACAAAACCCCAGTTGCTATGGTCTGAACTAGGTATTACCCCGAAGTAAACCAACATAAATATAGAACATCCAAACTTAAGAAGTGTGTGTTTCCATCCAGCTTTGAATCATGTTTGAACCATGTACAAAAGAGAATCCCAATAGTTTGTTAAACTCCATATGGTCTGTCGATGTTTCATGAGTTGCTTACACATTTACCATCATTTACCAGCCATTCAACACGGCTATCATGGCTTTTAATCGTCCAACAAAAAAACCCGGGATCCGGGCGGGGACGGAGTCCCAGGCTTGTGCTTGTGGCGCTGCTTTCCACGGCTTTCTTGGTCCATTTCAATGCACCTCAGAGCCCCGGCGGAGCGCGTTTTGGGATGCTGGTAGGGTCAGGTAGCCCTAAAATTGCATATGATAATATATACATATATATATATAGAATTATATATATATGTAACATAATGTAATACATATATATATACTATGTATGTATATCTATATGTATACATACTATGTGTATGTATATATATATATATATGTTTATTTATATGTGAATATATATATATATATATATATATTAAACATAGACTAAAAACATGATGTCGTCCCATGGGTCTGAATTTGTCATACCCAACTTGGGTTCGTCGCAACGTCGTCTCCACTTTAGCGCGGTGAGCTTCCGATTGGTTGCGCCATGGTGATTGCCCATGAAACTCAATGTACTTGAAGGATGGATGTGATTTATGTATATCATACACAGAGTATAGATGTAATTTATTACAGTTACCCGCTGTTTTTTTTCACATAGCTATTGAACATCCCCATTTGTAGTTCGTATTCAAAATGGTGATTTTCTATAGTTATGTTAGTTTACCAGAGGTTTTGCAATGTACATATATTTAATATAACATAATATAACATCATATACCGATATGTACCTATGAGATATGGTGATTGTCCACAGTTACAATGTGGGTCCCCCCAGTTATAAGTTGGTTTATAAGCCCCAGTAACTATAGTTATAAGTACCATATACCATAGTTGTTGGAGTTATGTGCACCAACTTAGCTATCTTGGGGTCTTGGGGGCCTCACATTGTATGGCAAATTACCGTTCTGTCCAGAGGTCAAAACTTCGATGCAATGGGGCAACCGAGGGTATCTCATCGAATCAAAATCGGGATCTCAGGATGTCTCACGAGGGTATGTTCCAACGAAGAAATGGTCCATATTTGGATTTTGCCAACCCTGAGATAAACTCGATATGAAACAACCATGGTTTCAAACAACCGGAAGCAAGCTACAAAACAGCGGGTTTTTCCATACCTATCTTAGTCATCTTTGGCAAGTTTCTGGATATTGGATGCGTTTGGAAAGAAAACATATTTCACAAACCAAACTTGTGAATTCACTAGCAACAAAAAATGAATTTAAGGATGGTACAATAGAGATTTCTTCAGCCATTGGAAAAAACCAACACCAGGCAATACTAGGAGAATTTAATCATTAAACATGTGGATGTCATCAGCAAAAGTGAAAAAATGAGCCAACAACAACTAGATCTAGACTAGAACCACTTAAACAATATTGGATAATGGATAATGGATTATTGTTAATGCTTTTACCTAATAGAGAATGGATTTTCATCACCAAAAACGGGATTCATCAACATTTTTTTTGCCACCATTCTCGGTGGAATCTGGTTGAAGATGTTGAAGATGTTGGTTCAATCAATCCCTTATATGTGACTCGGCTGACATGTTTTTTTGGGCATGTGAAAACCAGTTGTTGCCATGTTTAAATCACTGTGGTTGAATCGGTTGAAGTTCTGAACTTGCTTCCCTGCTCACCACTTGGTTCCCCCAAAATATGTGTTGTTTTTTTCCCTGGTTGGACTTGTCAATGGCCCACTTTTTGGGCGCGGGGATCTCTTGGAAAAAAAACAGGTTCTTCAGCGAGTTGCCACCCGTTGAAGCGAAGTCTGAGAGCGAACGGCAAGGAAAACTCCGGGACTTCAGCAAGGTGTCGTTGAACCTCAGCTGGGATGGTGGGGACGGTTGCGATTTCTGCTGTTTTCCGTTTTCCTGGCGGAGATGCCGTCACCAGGTACGTCATCTGATCGGCTTTCCAACCAGGTAACCAGTTGACATGACCAGTCAGTTGGCATTACCAAAATGATCCAAAATGGCCCCAACGGGGGTTGGACTCCATGGCAGACACACAGAAATTATAGTTGTCTCTGTGGCCCATCCGAATACTGATGTGGTGATGCACACGATTCACAGCAAGACAAAGTCAACACCTAACTGAGTCATACAAAGAAGTGATGATACACACTGATATTCCCTGGGAACAATACGCATCTCTCTACAACATCCAACATACCCCGAGGGATATGTATTGTTTGAGCTCGCGGTTGGTGTAACAAGAAACTATATGTATAAACATGTCTTATTTAGAAAAGCTGTGGACTTATTTTCTTGTGAAACAGCATGGTAACACAAGAGAAATGTGGGGCGGAACAACCAACAGCCACCCCATGTGTAACAATGGTACCTGGTACAGTGATCGGAGTGAACATCGTTTATTAAATTGTTTTTTGTTTGCATCTCCACTTCACTTGATAAACAAAGTTGCGGTGTAAACCACATTCCTTTCATGAACCAACAATGTACAGCAAGGATATATTTTGACAATGTTTGACACATCTCAATAAGTTGGTTCGAATTATACACAGAAAATCATCCGGACATCATCCCAAATTGTTTGCCATGGCAAATCATATTTTTACCTGGTGACCTCTTACATTCCATGTGATTTTTTTTGTGTTCGAATGCTTACCAGCTACACCAGAGATCTCACATCAAAAGGGCAAAAAAACCCAACAGGCGTCCAACGCCGAGGATTGGTTTCGGCATCGCTTCCCTTCAGCACCTGGGTGGTAAACAGTAGTGCCCCGCAGTGACATGTTTGTTCGAAAAGAAAAAACATATCATTCAATATATATATATATATATAATATATTATATTATATTATATTATGTTATATTATATTATATTGTATTATATTATATTATATTATATTATATATACATATATATCATGATATATCTAGCAAAAATCCGAATTAATTAGCCTAGTTCATCCTAGTTCATCCAGTTATTTTTTTAGTCAGTCAACCTAGCCGCTAAGCATAAGCGGCACCAACCTTGGAAGATCATCCCACCAGGGGAAACAAAAAACAAAAGATCGATCATCCCAATAGGTGTCGAAACTTCAAAAACCATTAATGATAATCCGATTGGTGGTTTGGAAAATGGCTTTTATTTTTCCATATATTGGGAATGATCATGTTTGTGATTAATGATAATTAATGTGTGTTCTCTTTAATCATCAGTGATAATGATAATTAATGATTAGTTAATTAATTATGATTAATGATAATGTTATATAATGATAAATGATAATGTTAATTAATGTTTGGTGGTGACTGGAACATGGCTGGATTATGACTCTCCATTCAGTTGGGAATGTCATCATCCCAACTGACGAACTCCATCATTTTTCAGAGGGGTAGGTATACCACCAACCAGTAATTAATATTTGTTCTCTTTAATCATCAGTGAACTTTTTTTTTATGATCATTGATGTTTTTCTCTTCATTGGTTTGGCTGAAATTTATTGGTGAACGATTGGGTGTTTGGATTTTGCCACGCAAGGTATGCTATGGTCATGTGCTTTGGTTTCCTGACTTTTGGTACCTCAGTCAGTGGGACTTTCGGCGAAGTTGGGGGTTGAAGGCACGGCCGAAGCGCTGGTCGTTGAATCCACAGTTAGTTCTGGGTTTAAAACAACATCATGATATGAAGCAACATGAATAATTTCATAAACCCTGCAATGTGAGGCCCCCCAGTTATAAGTTGATTTATAAGCCCCAGTAACTATAGTTATAAGTACCATAAACCATAGTTATTGGAGTTATAAACCAACTTAGATATCTTGGGGGCCTCACATTGTGGGGTTAAGGGTCTAAACATGATGTTCATGAAGAGAAAACGAGCAACATGAGTATCTCATTCCAAATCAAAAGAGCCAAAGATGAAGATATTCTTGGCTTGTAACCCATCAGTAGCTTCCCAAGGTCTGTACAGAAAGTGAAATCCCCAAATCACCTCAAATGACAGGTTGGTGAATCGTGAATCCCAGTTCGAAATAAATTTGCACAGTTTTGATTGAAAAGAAATGATATTGGACTCGCTAACATTTGCACAGATGTAGTATATTGCCTTTCTTTGCGGTGGTGTAGGGGTGTCCGAGTTTCAGGTATATATCTTAGATTGATATAGTTAGTACTTGAATGTGTTGCCCTAAATGGGGATATCAAATTGCCGCGATTCACTAGAACTAAGTCGTGGTGTCTATGATTGGCCAACATACATGTTTCTATGTTTGACCTCTACCTGATATGATGAACACGGCTTGACTCATGATTTTCAACTTGACAGCATCAACCATCAAACACTAAAGCATTGCTGTCCAATCCGTCTTTTTGATTTGTTGGCAGCAAACCCCCTATGTTAATGATTCATCCAATTTTGGAGGAACAGTTCGTCACTTTTCATGGCTAAGTTCTTTTTTCGGATGCTGGAATACCCCTTCCTAGATGGCTGTCTCTTATTTTGATGTGTAAATCATGCCCCAAATCTGTTTTTGCTGATTGAATCAGCATCTTTTCCGGTCAAAGTCCAATCGCTTCTGAAATCCATTTGGATGTGGGTCAAAATGGAAGACCTAGGGGACCACAGATGTTAGTCTGGTTTAGTATTAGTATTAACCATCCAATCAGATTATCGGGGTACCTAATTTTGACCCATACCCATTTAAATCCGATCGCTGGTTGAGTCTTTTCAGATTTTGGCTTAGGAATGTTCTCCTGAACTATGATTCCTCAGATCCTTGGGCAACGGCTGCGCGTTTGGCCGTGGGCATTTCGATGCTCTTTGGGTATCCCATGCAGTTCGCAGGCGGATGTTTGATTCGGAACTGGGCCGGGGGGTCGATGATGTCATGGCGATTCAATAGGGAGCATTACCCTTTGTTTATGACTAACATAGCCATGGAAAATCACCATTTTTAATAGGTAAACCATCTATAAATCTATGGGCCATCATTTTCCATGGCTATGTTAAATAACCAGAGGGTATATGGCATTGAGCCATCAACAATACAGGGATTTCCTGGAAAAACCCTGGATGGCTACTTTGGTTCAAGTTGATCATAAGCCTGCATTAGCTGCAATGGTATACCAACCGAACCAGGTGGGGATTTGATGTGTGCACAGCTTGTGTTTTGAAGAGCAAACAGGCGAATATAACCACATATTCTGGGTCAGGCAAAAAAATGAATTGCTATAGTAGATTAGCCCACCAATTGGCTGCATGGTCACATCTAGTCACAATGAAAAATTGGCAATCCATCCATCGGTATGGGCCAGCTGAGACCCATACCCATAGCGATGTGGCCATTGACCATGGCTCAAAATACGAAGGAACTACCCTCTGGTAATTTAACATAACTATGGAAAATCACCATTTTTAATGGATAAATCAACGAACTAAATGGCCATTTTCAATAGCTAACTGTTAGTTTACCAGAGGGTAATTGTTTGACAGGGGATGACAGGGGCATGGATAAAAACATACCGTTCAAATCCGTTCAATAGGTACTTGCCTACTGGAAATATACAACGTTGAGTCTTGCACGTATGAACCATTCTGAAATAAATCTACAATAATCTACATATTACATAAGAATGATGTTTAGCCCTTCGTGTTTCTGATTGGCTTAATCTGGTTGGTGGTTTGGATCGTTTTATATTTTTCCATATATTGGGAATAATGATCCTAACTGACTTTCATAGTTTTCAGAGGGGTTGAAACCACCAACCAGTAATATATATATACATATCCATGTTTGATTCAATGGATTGGTTTAAGGAAAAGATTACAGGCCCAATCATGGGAAAATGCATTGCAGCATGGTTTCCAGTAGATGTTCCATTACCAATCTATTGATTGACAGCGACTTATATAGTCCATAGTTTAGATGGCTCATATACTTCTATGATCTCTCTAGTAAATTAACATAGACCCTGCCAGTCATCGAGCTTGGAAGATGAGTTTCCATTAACAAATCATTATTTTCAGGGTCGAGTCAAACTGTTGATTTACCAGATTCATCATATGGAGGTTTCCTTTTCAATAGGGGTAGCCCTAATTATCATCCAGCTATTAGTTTGGGAATTCCCATCATAAGCCCTACAATATGAGGCGCCCAAGATAGCTAAGTTGGGGTTCACATACTGTAACTCCAATTTCACTATGGTTTATGGTACTTATAACTAACTATAGTTACTGGGGCCAATCTAAACCAACGTTCACATCACTGGGGGGCCTCACATTGTACCATTTGGGGGATGGGTAAAACCATCTATAAATAGGTAAACCATCTATAAATCTATGGGCCATCATTTTCCATGGCTATGTTAAATAACCATAGGGTATATGGCATTGAGCCATCAACAATACAGGGGTGTCCTGGAAAAACCCTGGATGGCTACTTTGCTAAACCATCTATAAATGGGCCATCTATACCATGGCTATGTTAGTCATAAACCAACTACATCCCCCATTGGTGATTTTCCACTTCGCCACAGCCGGCGTCTTCATGCTTGACCTCTTGAAATCAATGGGCAACGCCAGGGCATGCAGTTCAAAGACACTTATAGCACCCCCCCAATATATATATATATATAAATACATACATATATATATAGAGTGAGCATATATATATACACAGATAGATAGTAGATAGATGGAAATTGGGTTAACTCCCACATTCAAATAGTGATCTTTTTGGTGGTTACTTTGTAGTCATTGCATGTCAACAAAAAAAACATCGGGTCTCCATTGCTGGTTCCGTTCGGTTCCAAGCTGCCAGGTTTCCGCGATGGTCTTCTGGAACTCTTCCACATCGATCCCTTACCACCTGTGACCCTCAGATCAGCCCAGCACGCTGGGGGATGAATCACCCTTCAAACAACAAACAAAAACTGGAAAACCATAGGAAAACCTAGGAAAACCATAAGAAACCCTAGGAAAACCATAGGGAAACCATCTGAAAATGATGATTTTAACTTAGAAAAATGTTGATTTATCGGGATTTATAGCTGAAGCCTATGGATCCAGCCGTAGCTGTTTGGACCGTCGCTCCTGGGGGATGAACTGGGCGGTGCCTTGGAACCGGACCTTCGAGAAGGAGGTGGACATGGTTCCATAGGGAACATGGAATATAATTATATGAATATATATATATATACAATGTGAGGCCCCCAAGATAGCTAAGTTGGTTTATAACTCCAATAACTATGGTTTATGGTACTTATAACTATAGTTACTGGGGCTTATAAACCAACTTATAACTGGGGGGCCTCACATTGTGGGGGGCCTCACATTGTATATGTATATATATATATATATATATCTATACGGTAACGATAGATTCTGCTAAACTAACAGTTTGCGAACTGGAAAATGGTCACTTATAGTGGATTTAATAGGGTTTAATGGGATTTGATGGGATTTGATTGGGATATACCCTCTGGGAAACATACAATTTCTGATGGGAAAATCACTAGTTTGAATGGGAAAATCAACGAACTTTCAATAGCCATGTTCAATAGTTTTTTGTTAGTTTACCAGAGGGTAAGTTGGTTTACAACCATAGTAAGTATAGATAATTATAGATGTATCTACCATAAACCATAGTTATTGAAGTTTATGATCATCTACCTATATATATATATACGTATATATATATATATGTATATACATATATATATATGAATATACTGGTTGGTGGTTTGGAACATTTGGATGATTGTTCCAAATATTGGGAATATAATCATCCCATTTGACTTTCATATTTTTCAGAGGGGTTGAAACCACCAATCAGTATATGAATATATGGAAAAACAACATGAAACAAAAAAACATCGTCACGGATATATAACTGGATGTAACTGGATACACAACTGGATGCAGCATAGCAAGGGTTATTAAACAATGGGTTCTATAATTTGATGTACTACATGAGGAGTTCTGGTAGATCAACGTACAATCTATGCACAATGTCATTCGGATTATGTCCACAACGGAATATTCCCACTTCCATGTGGCTTATTTATTAGTGTTTGATCAAACACCTAAACCAGATCGTGTCTTTTGGAAAAAATGTAACAACCTCACTGCGACATCACTGTCACTGGAATGATGGTTAGTACCGCAAACTATCCCAAACACATTGCCTTATTTCAAATTGAAAAGTTATTAGAAGTTTGCCCCTTATATCACATTATATCCCCACTATATCCATATTATAGTTGGCTTAAACGCACTGATATGTGTAAAAAGTGGGGGACCCCAGATAGCCAAGTTGGTTCAAACAACTCTAATAACCATGGTTTATGATACTTATAACATCTTATAACTATAGTTACTGGGGCTTATAAACCAACAAACAAAACTGGGGAGCCCCACGACAAGGCCATGTTCCATCATTTTCCAGTGCCATCACGAGGAAACATCGCCTAGTGACTGGCAGCTGTTTGCTGCTGGCCGTGGGGGTTGCATGTGTTTTCCGCGACTTGGGAGTTGTACAGGCCTGCGACGGGAAGAAATGGCTGGCATGGCTGGGCAGTTGTCACCAACGAAGATTATCTGTAGAAGATAGACCCAGTGAAGTGTTGGTTGATGTTTCCCCCATCGAACTACATAGATACATACATACATACATACATACATACATATATATATATATGTATATCCCCTTAAAAACCTAATAATTAATAATTATGATTATCATTATAGTCATAAAGAAATGTAGCTATCGTTTTGGGCTTCCACCTTGGTTCCGGCGTTCCGATGGCATGAACCCCCAGTCATCACCATTTTTATAGGTACAAGTCGTGAGGTCCCCGGTCGATAGCGTTCAGTTGGTGCAAATAACTCCAATTTCACGAACTGGTTTATGGTACGCAAATAACGAACTAGTTACTGGGGCGAATCTAAACCAACGTTCATATCACTGGGGGGCCCCACATTGTATAAAGACTATAAATCGGTGGTATAAATCAATCATTCCCATAAATGGGTGGTAAAAATGGCATTGTTTTAGCCTCACACCCTGCCTGCACCTTCCAACCTCCCGAAACCCAACAGGAGCAGCACCTTCGATTTCAGGCTTACCCAGCACCTGTAATCCCCCCCAAAAAAACAGCAATCCAGATCATAGATGTCCATTTTATACACATATCTCTTGGCCTTTCCTAAGTCAGGTACACTCAGCTATATTACATATACAGCCTATACAGCTATTATATATACGTATATATAGAGTGAATAGTTCATTTCCATTCATTTCCACTATTTAATTAGGCTCTATTTCATCAACTAAAGGTAAGGCCCGACGACACGACGGGGCTGATCATGGACATTGATGGGCATTGATGGACAGTGCCAGTTATCCACCAAGTCTTCCATTCATCAATGTGTTTCATGAATTTTCACTATAACTAGTAGTTCTACATAAAATCATCCATTTGTTTCATGAATTTCCACTAACTCCATGAATCCTCCATGTTTTCCGGCATACTTCCAACAAAAATCGCTGACTTCGATCATCGCCTCATCGCCCAGTTCTCGTTTCAGGCGGTGGAGGGCGCCCTCCTGGCTGCCTTCTTAGTCTTTCTGGCCGGGCCCATCATGGCCTTGCGGCTGCCCATGGGCCGACGCTCCGCGCTCACCAGGTCGACCGGCCCCAAATGGGGACTGGTTATCTGAATGGATATAACCAATGAATATCACTGATATAAAACCAGATAACCAGTTATATAATACCAGTTATATTCCAGATGGTAAATCCAATGTTTATAATTGGGTATATATTCAATATACAACTGGTATATAACCAATGAATATAGACCAAATGGTAAACACATATTTATAATTGGGTATACTACTGGTTACTATTTGGACTGAAGAAAAAAATACACAATCAAAATCTGTTGGAGTGGGAATGGACTGTCGAAACTAAAACATGACTTGAAGTGCCAACAAATATGGATTGAAGAGACAAGAGATGGACAAACAGATCACCAAACATAGATGCACACACAATGAGATGATGCAATGGATTGAAGACTTTGAACACCGAAAAAGTCCATGGATTGATCTAATCATCCTTCGTGAATCAAAGGGAATGTTCCCAGCTGGAATGTGCAAGGAACGTTGCAGGGAGGTGTTTTATGTTCTGTTTTATTTCACACCTTTATGTAGCTCTAAAGATTGAAAAAAAGCCAATACTGTCAAAACTCTGCTGGCATTTGGAGACGATACTCCACAATATATATATATATATATACATATGCATATATGTATATATATATATATGTTGGCACACATTTCTTCAATTTGTTCAATTTTATAGGCAATTTTGCTACCATAAATCCATATCAAACAATATCAAACATGTAAAAACCATGGTAAAACCAATATTGGCCCCCAATCTTCCAGCATTTTCGACATTGGTCAATCAACAAGGTGGCCGGTTTTTTTCGAGCTGTTCTACCATGAAAACTGGATTCACCGTGGTCAAGGAGTGGTGAAACTACCTATCGCACCAGTCCTTATGAGAAAAAAACATATCGCACCACCAGTGATTATAGTGATATTATATAGTTATATATATTATATCCATATATATATATTACATCCATATCCTTATTTATTCATATATATATATATGAAGGATATACTTTCACAGTGGCTATTTTGCTTTTGCTTGAAGGGGTATCTATACTTAGACGTGGAATTGCAGCTATATTAGCTTGAATGATCATGGGTCGGCGTGTATTGACGATCCAGCTAGACTCCCAACACGACTCTCTTTGTATTTGCTTTATATGCATACTTTGCAACATAGATGTACATATATACAAGTATATAACATTAATAAATATTATATTATGGTATACAGAGATTTGCACATCTCTGTGAATATATATATATATACACATAATATTAATATATATATATATGTATATATATACATATATATGTATGTATGTACACTCATGTTTTCAGCACCTTAAAGCCTTCAGCCGTTAGTCACTTCCTGGGAGTTGATTCCCAGGTGGCGTTTCCGATCGTTGATTGTGCTCGGAGTCGCCTTCATGGGTCACTTGCTTCAGGATATGGCGCGCCCAGCGGTGGTCGCTGGTTATTTTTGTTTCGATATGTTCATCATCCGTCTCAGTAACCCATAGGATCCATGTATGCTATATATGATAACATTTACCATCAATATACCCCCAATGTTAGCATATATACCAGCACCATGGATCCTATGGGTAAGGAAAGCCATTTCAGAGAGGAAATTATCATTGTTTTGTTTTTTCCGATTTGATTCGACATATTTCAGGTGCTTTCACTGTTTTGGTACGGTTGGTTGCACAAAAACATCTTCACATTGCATCCCCTGACCCTGGGATGATTCCGATAGACAGCTTGGAAGCACCACAATTTGTTCACTTAGCCTCTGCAACTTTTGTATAACAAAAAACACCGTTTCTTGATGTTTATTGTAAAAGAACACCGCTTATGCTTATTGATGTTTATAAAGTCGGCGTTTCACCCAAAAGAGTCATTGATTGCAGGCCGTTCCACGTGCCTTTCCATATCCTTCCCTTCTCACCAGATCATCCTCAGGTGTTGGATGTGCTGTGAACTTCGGTTGGCTCTGAACGTGGTGGTCCTGGAGCTAGCGGATCCATACGGTGTTCCCATGCAACTCAAGTGAGATCCATAATTAGCTGAGATGTATCATCTATATGTTCAAAGAATTTCAAAGATTCAACAACATAGATCTATAAGTCTCTCCATAATTCTATACACATATGACACATATGTATTACAGATATTGTAGACTTTGTAGACAGATATTTGGGATTATTTGGGTGAGTTAGACTGACCTCACTACGACTTCACTAGACTATAGATGATGTCGAGTGTAAGCGTAACTATATCAAAGTAACAATGTGTTCATGTGTGCGATTTGCTTGAATCCAGCAAGATACAGTGTGCAGTGTGAGGCTTCCTGTCCTAGTTATAGGTTGGTTTGTACCAATTGAACTGTAGATCAATTTTCACATATCTTCACCACCAATCCAGCAGTTACTATAGTTATCTTTACCAACGGAAAGCCAACTGGGATCCCCATATTGTAATATTGTAGATGTTTGGGACACATGTGTATATAGTTATATATATATATATACATTACATCCCATGATATGCACTGTCACTCTCCATTATTTATAGATATTTTTAGTAAATCAACTTTTATATCAATTATTTATAGAATTCTTTATATATATATTAAATATATATTTGTGGATAGAGTGAAACATCATGTAACATCCACTTTTCAGACTTCTCACTGGCAGGGTTACAAGACCTGACCCAGTTGCGTTCACCGCTGAAATTGCTTCTGTCAAAAAATCGCCATCGCAAGTCGCCGGGCTGCGAGGCTGCGGCGACGGTCTAGGTATATAAATAAAAAGTGGTTGGTGGTGACTGGAACATGAATGGATTATGACTTTCCATATATTGGGAACGTCATCATCCCAACTGACTTTCACTCCATCATTTTTCAGAGGGGTAGGTTGAAACCACCAACCAGATAACTGTGTATATATATATATAATGTTGTATTATATATTATACATTCAAATATTCATTGCAATTCCGAAACATTCCCTTCAACTTTTATTGCTTCTTTTTTTTGGTGTTATTTTATGGTAATTTAAACATAACCACTAGAAGTTAAAGCAATGTTCGCAGGGGAGCTGGCTGGGGCTCTTCATACCCTCTGGAAAACTAACAGTTTGCTATGAAAATTACCATGTTTCATAGGTACATCATCTATAAATGGTCAATTTTCCATAGCTATGTTAAATTACCAGAGGGTACTTGCCCTCAGATGCTTTTTGATGCTTTATGATATTTTTTGTTTTTTTCCTCCATTCCCATATGGATTGAGAAAGACGTATCAGAAAGTTTATTTCCCTTCGGCATGGGTTTGTCTGAAAATCTCATTTGGAGTAGAAATGATTTGGGCGTTTTAAGCATGGATTTGCTAGGTAATATCTTAATCGTTTATAGATGTTTATAGTAGATGTGGAAAAAACGTGACATCCATGCTTGATCTATGGTTAATTGTCAATGTTTTGCCATGATTCGTCCTTAAACAGTGTGTTTAAGCAGTAAATCCTGAGGTTGAAGCAGTAAACATAGGATCTTATGGTATTTTAACGTCAACGATTTGGATTTAATCATTTAATTGGTACGTTAACCATCAACACACCTGCCTTAATATATATATATAATGAAGCAGATAACAACATCAACATAACTTCCAGGTAAGACGTTTCATTGTTGTAAATATTCACTATACGGCTATATTTCTTGTTTAAGTTCGTCCAAACATATATGTTTGTCCATGTTTATTGCACAAGTGATGGGGTGTGCCCTGAGCTTCCACTCCAAATGGCTCTCAATCTATGAATGATTATTTTGCAGGAGCAACAATATGTATACATATATATATATATGTATATGTATATTCACATGCATTTCCCTGCATATATATATATACATACATAAATACATACATGTTCAATTTTTTCAAGGGCACATATATATATAATTTCATAGTTTTCCGATGTATTTCCCTAAGGAATTGTCAATATTTATATATACATACATATAAGTGTTTGCAGACATATTTATATACCTGTTGCTAATCTAACATAGCTATGGCAGCTATGGAAGACCAGCATTTTGAATAGCTAAATCAACTATAAATGGGCCATTTTGGATAGCTATGTTAGACTACCAGAGGGTATACGACATGTACGAACAGGTTTGGAAACATATATATATACACATATACATATATATATATATATGTATATATATATATAAATGTGATATATACATATACATATGTATATATATATATATGTATACATAGATATAATATATAATATTATTTATATATATATTTTTGAATACACACATTATATAAATACATATCATATAATTATGACCTCGGTTTCCGCATCCATTGATGTCCACGGCAGAAACACGGCCACCCAGGCCACGGCTGTGGCGCCAAAGGCGCGTTGTTTTTTCCCGTGCCGTATCCCTCCCTGTGGCTTTAGGAAACGGGAATACACAAAGGAAATACCCCCGGTAAACTAACGTAACTATGGAAAAATCACTATTTTTAATGGGAAAACTCACTACAAATGGCCATTTTCAATAGCTATGTTAAATTACCAGAGGGTAATGATACAAATGCGGAGGTTTTCGTAAAATAGGGGTACCCCTCAATCATCCAATTTTAAGAGGATTTTTCAGTATAAACCAACCATTTTGGGGATCCCCCATTTTTGGAAACCCCCATGTGTCCTTTGAAACTCTAACTAGAGTTCTAGGTAATTTTACTTTCCCCGAAAATTTGAATCTACTTTCTTGTTAGATAGGAACAATTATCACAGTCCCCGACCACACTGTGTGTGTATTATAGACATATATATATGTATTTGTATATATTTGTATTCTGTCATGGCACACAAGCAGGCACCCACATTTGAGCAATGCCCAACACTTCTGTTGGTTGATGATTGTCAGTCGGTATTGACTTGCACATCAATATAATAACAGCTACAACACTCAAACCAACATACCTTAATTTTAACATATATTACTATAAGACATGATGGATAATAACAATGCCCATCAGAGCAGTTGTATAATGAGTACTCCCCCGACTAGCCATGCTGATCAGGTGGTTAGTGTGGGAGTTTTTGGATCTATGTCCCTTGGCCCTGGCCGTCAGGGTGGAATGACTTTGTGGTGTGGCTTAGTACATTTATACCCTAAACCTTCAAACATTTCTTACTTATACATTTAATACTTTGCTGGAAATCAGCTCGCGCAACGTGAACCGTTGGTTTTTCAAGCAACGATTTGACAATTTGAAATGGTGAATAAGTTTTAAATGGTGATTAATGGGGATTTATGGTGATGAATGATGATTAATGACATACCCATAAATGTTGGTAATTTAAGATAGCTATTGAAAATTGCCATTTAGTTCGTTGATTTACATAGTAAAGATGGTGATTCATCCATGTTCTGTTATAGCATTCCCATATGCTCGGTGTATGGTATATTTACCTTTAAAACTGGGTGATTTTGTTCGGGCAAATGTTGGTAAATATTCCATATATGGAGCATATGGGGTAAGGTAAAAGATCTGTAAACAAATATAACTATTAGTTAAATAGGATTCCAAAGCAACCGATAGCACTTGGCGGTCCCACATTGAATTGGTTTGGACTGGAAAGAATAGACTTTTTTTTAATTCCTGGTGTCCTGAATATTGAACTAGCCACGGAATCGGGTATGGTACACTAAACCTTGACACCAGTCTGCCTAGACCCTCCAAGTACACTTCAGCAAATGGTAAAAGCACCAAAATGAAGCTATTGTTTGTACAATGTGAGGCCCCCCAGTTATAAGTTGGTTTATAGGCCCCAGTAACTATAGTTATAGGTACCATAAACCATAGTTGTTGGAGTTATGTTCACCAACTTAGCTATCGAACGGGGGCCTCACATTGTAGGTACTTGGAGGGTCTAGGTAGCACTGGTTGATGGTTTCAGGTTTTTGATTCGGTTGAAGAGCCCGCTATTGGCGACCCTATTTGATTTCTCAACTAATTGTATTAGTATAATTTGTGTATTGTAAATCGCAAACAGATAGAACATGACAGAATTGTAAAACGCCTGATTAGTGCGATACACATAATACTTGTATATGTTTGCAGGGGGTGTTACATGACTGTTTCTAGAACAGACTCGTCTGTAGTAGTGTTCTTTACATGATATTACCTAATTATCTATAGTTATATGTATGTATATATATATACATATTACCATATGTTATAAATAAAATATGATACAACATAATACAATATAATATAATTCAATATAGTATAATATGTTAGTTTATTAATAAGATACAAAATAAAAAATATACTATATTATGTCACAATATATATAATATAAAATATATATTATATTATATATAATATATAATATATAATATGTTTTATGTAATATATATAATATATAATATATAGTATAATAATATAATAATATGATAATATAATAATACAATAATATATAATATATGTTATATTATATTTTTTTATAATATTTTTAATATACTATATTATATATTATATATTAATTATTATATATATATATATATATTATATATATATATATTTATAAATTTTATGTTATAGTATATTTTAGTATATTATAGTATATTATAGTATATTATATTATAGTATTATATTGTTGTATATTATATTATATGATATTATTTATATAATAGGTATAATATAATTTAATATACTTGATAATATATATATATATATATTATATAATATATACACACATACATACATATTACCATATGCTATGTATATATGATATTATATATATATACTCATAAATATATATATATATACATAAATGTATTTATATATGCATAGACTATATTTATATCCATACTCGTTTCAAGCTCTCCTTTTTGGTTTAATTTTCCTTGCCCTATGTAACTTCTGCTCTTCAGCAAGGTTTCTACGATGCCCGGGCACTCAGGGGGTGTGCATCCCAGGAAAACCACTGGAAACCATAGGAAAACCATAGGAGAACCACTAGAAACCACAGGAAAACCACAGGAAACATGTTCCAACAGCAAATCCAATAGGATCCAGTTGGAGATTAATCATGATTAATCCTCCAAAATGGTGAAAAGTACTGTTAAGTCTGTTATATAAGTCTTATTCTGAAAACGAGTTTCGCGGCCGTGTTCAGCAGCGTTTTTGGAAAATTGAACTAGTCGCCAAACGTTACGCGCCTTGGACCATTCTCCCCAATGCGCAATGTTTTTCAATGTTTGACAGTTCCATTCCTCTCAATTTGTCCTTGTTCAAACAGTCTATCAGTCATACTACATCCCAGTTGAACCCAGAAAATCCCATGACTCCTTTTATCTCTGGGTTCTCTATGGGTCATGGAGACTCAAATGAGTCATTTGGCTTCCGGGGGAAGTTAACAATCCAGCTGTTCAACGCATCCGTTCGCCTATCTAGCAACTTAAAACCTAAAAAACACACAGAACCTGCAATGTATGCCCCCCTTGTTGTGGGTTGGTTCACAATCCCATTTAACTATAGTTAGAATTGCCACAAACCATACGCCATACTTACTGGAGTTGCAAACCAACCAAGCTCTACCTTATTATTTATGATAGTATATGTATTGTTTTTCTTCCCCTCCTACAGGTTCAGAAATCCTAGGGATCCAGCGGGTAAGGAACGGCCTCTCATCTTGGGCACTGACTATGATGTGCCCTGCCAGGGATGGCGGCGCCTGGCAGATGGGTCTTGAGATGTTGGGCTCCATAGTCATGGTACCCCAATCGCAGGGATTTTTTCATTTCATGGAAAATCCCTCTATTTTTATGAATGAGAACTAGAGTTGCCCCCCCCCATTTTAGGAAAAAAATCCAAGTGTTGAGGCTTGATCAAGCATCAAACTTGGGGCTTTATTACATTTTATTACCATTGCCTGGCATCCAAGCGCTGCGCTCATTCAACTTGGCCAGGCCTCTGTTGCTTGGCCTTGCATGGAGCTGACGTCGAAAAATCAGATTGCGAAATTTTGGTCATTGTGGGCCCCCCAAGTTATGTTTGTTGGCTTATAACTATAATAATCCTATCCAACAGTAGTTATTACTAGTTATTACCGCCATAAACTCTATTTAACCAAGTTACAAACCAACTTTGCGAGGGATTTAGGGGCCTCACTTTGCGGGATAGATTACAGTAATTACTTCAGGGATCTTCAGGGTACCTGCCATGGATCTTACATCCAAAGATTTACGGGGTTTCCTAACAATGTGAGGCCCCCAAGATATCTAAGTTGGTTTATAACTCCAATAACTATGGTTTATGGTACTTGTAACTATAGTTACTGGGGCTCATAAACCAACTACCATCACTGGGGGGCCCCACATTGAAAGATATCCCTTAAATCATACTCGCATGGTGGGCATCATGGGCGTGATGAGTATATCATCTTTGGGAATCGAAGCTTTCGACCGGAAACCATGGATTTTCCCATGAAATGAATGTCGGTTTCTTGTAATTGTTTCCATGAAACAAAGCCATTGAAGATTGAAAAAAAATCTGACATTGGAAAATTCACAGTTTCTCCCATGGAACAAAGGACATTCTGATACATTCTGATAGTTCATTGGTCGATAGGGCAAAAGGCACATGGTCGCCTTCGCGCTTGCAGCCATTTGGCATTGATGCTTTGCAAAAGATGAACGCAGAGTCATTGGAGATACTGTGGATGGAAGAAATCCTGCACCAGTTGGAAACTATTGGTAAGTATAAAACACTTTAAATAATGGGAGTACAATGGCATAAACCATCACTTTGAACTCGTTGGTGCTTTACCCAGACCTTAAACATTTGCCATGAGAAACAGGGAGAGAAACACCCGCATTGGTCGGACTGTGGGTGCTGAGTTGACAAACATGTTGGTAAACTGGAGCCACAATCTACCCACACCCATCAATACTTTGTGTTTCCAACCACAATATCTCAGATGGTGTGTTATATACATATCCTATCATTACCCATATATACCCACAACCAACTGTTGTTTTTGTATTTCAAAGCCCTTTCTGAACATACCCTCTGGTAATCAAACGTGGCAATGGAAAATTCCTTCTGAAGGTTTTAGTAGGAAAATCATCTAATGTGGGTAAAACAATGTCATAAACTATCCCGCAGTCATCACCATAAATAGGTGGTAATCATTCCCAGTCATGGGTGGTTTATGGCATTGTTTTACCAATATTACCATTAGTCACCATTAATCACCATTATCAAACGTCATTAACTATCATTAACCATCACTATGGCATTGTTTTACCAACATTGTAAAGGGTAGATTTTCCATTGCCACGATTACCGGAGGGTAAATCAAAGCCCAGGCCCTGAAGAGGGCCGCGGTAGGCGCGACATGATTTCAGCACCGCAAGTGGTGTCTCCGCCTGCCATGGCGGCGAAGCGGCTTCCGTTCCGCACGCCAGGTGCAACGGTTGAGAATTGAGTCTTCTTAAAGAAGGTGAACTCAAATTTATATGTGATATATATATAATTATATATATAATTATATATATATAATTATATATATATAATTATATATATAATAAATGTAGAAATATATATATGTGAAATATAGGATATATATATATATGAAATACATGAATATTTATACATAATTATGGTATGTATATATATAGTGGATAGGGTTTATTGTCCAACTTATAACTGGGGGGACACCATCTGGCTTGATTTATGGCAATTTTGATGGGGGATTCATGGAACATATTGAGTCTATCCCTATGGATCCATGGCTGTCTGAGAAGGTACGGCTATCCCCCGAAACGTCATCATACCCCAGTCACACTTCCTAAGAAGCTACTGTACGGCTGGATCCATAGGGATAATTTGAGAATAATCCCATCCCCCATTCATCCCTACAATGTGAGGCCCCCCAGTGATGGTAGTTGGTTTATAAGCCCCAGTAACTATAGTTACAAGTACCATAAACCATAGTTATTGGAGTTATAAACCAACTTAGATATCTTGGGGGCCTCACATTGTATGGTTAATGGTCCCAACTATGTGGACACCCCCTACGTTTTACCAGTGGCTTCTGGGAGGTGCGTCATAGCTTCAGGGTGTTTCACATGGACCATGCAACTGGGATATCAGGGACATGTAGTGTAGCTTTATGTAGCTTTGCGTGTTTCAGGTGTTCAGTATAACAATATCCCTTCTAGAGTTTCATTGCGTGTGTTTTACGACTATGTATTTTAAGTATGTTTGTATTTATTGTCGGACGCGTACGCCTTACGCAGACAATATTGATGCTTGAACACGCGGAGGTATAAATAGAGGAGTACAGTTTCCTGCTAAGCAACTCTAAAGGGCCTGGTTTTCAAGATTGAGTATACCTGTGTGACTCTAAATCGACATAGATGACAGTTAGTAAGGTGTGAATTAGTTTGACTCATTCAAGGATATTCAAAGAGTATATCTACCTGTGCTTATCACAAACTCACTCATTCCAATAGGTAAATAGACCGCATCATGGATGGTCAATGACGGATTCTTATTTTGGGAGAACGCACAAATCAACTGTTGATGATGAACATTTGAAGTTTGTACTTTGTTTTGAGTTCGGATATGTCGACTTTTTTTTGTAAGTGTGTATTACACACTTGGCTTGTTGGGTGCTTGTTGGAAGGTCCAGGGATCCATCAATGATCCGTTTGTCATGCTCCAATAGTAACCCTTGAAAGTGAGTGAATGATTTAGCGGTTGAAGCAAATACCTCTGCTAAACTAACATAGCTGTTGAACATGGCCTAGTATAGTAGAGTTACCTATTTAAGATTGTGATCTTCCATAGTTATGTGGGTTTACCATAGGGTAGCATATTTTGGCAACACCCCCAAGTGGAATATACTTTGTACATCTTTGTACTGTATGTGTGGTCTATTCGAAGCAAAAAATGCTGATACTTCAGCCAGCATTGAAACCAAGGAACAACACCTATACTCTAGACTCGCCAAGTACCTATTAATAGAATGTAAACATATTGAATATAAATACATGTATATATATAATACAATATAATATAATATAATATAATATAATATATAATATAATATAATATATAATATAGATATAATATATAATATAATATATAATATATAATATAATATATAATTTAATATATAATATGATATAATATAATTTAATATAGTATAATACAATATAATACAATATAATATAATATAATATAATATAGATAACATATATAATATAATAATAAACACATAATATATATAATATATATATACTATTATATATAATCCCATCCTTCCAATATAAACACTCCCATTGTATGGTTCACAATATGTGATTTCATCTCCCGCTGTGTTCGGGTGGTGTTTAATTGTTAGGGGGAAGAAATTATTACATTACCAACGGCAACTTACCATTAATGATTCGTAATATCCATTAATTAAACATGATTACACCCTATGGATCCAAGTACCTTCTTAGGAAGTGTTTAGGGTATGATTTAGGGGGTTAAGTACCTTCTCAGACAATGTTTGGATCCATGGGGACAGTAATACTGGTGCTACCCTCTGGTATTGTGGTAATTTCAGAGTTTGGATTGAAAATCATCAAACTAAATGGGTCATCTAAACCATATAGCAAACTGTGAATGTTTACTGAAGGGTAAATCCCAGTTAGAATCTAGACATCCCCATTTGGACTGGTGAAATCGCATTTTCCAGCATTTCGAGCACCATAAAATCCCATGAACTTCCATGAAACCATCGTTTTTGGTGGTTAAAACATGTTAAAGCCACTATCAAATCCTATCTGGTTGGTGGTTTGGAACATTTTTTATTTTTCCATATATTGGGAATGTCATCATCCAGCTGACTTTCATATTTTTCAGAGGGGTTGTTATACCACCACTATCAAATTCTATCAAATCCTATAAATCTCATTCCTTGATGGCTTGGAATCCAGGCCTCGCCGCTTCTTCGAAGCGCCGCTTCGCCGGCCGAAACATGTCTCCGTTACCGGTCACGGTCACGGCGGCGCTGTTGTCGACGGCAGTGACACGGCGAGCCGTGGCGACGAAGCGGATACCAGGTGCCGTTGGGAGTTTATGATGGAAGTTGCATTGATTACAGTAGCCACCAAAGAGGAGTGCCATGAACCTCGGTAGAGGTTCGCCAATAATCAATTCCATTCAATTCCCATATTTCACATGATACTGCAACATATTATATTGTACAGTTATGGCCCTAAACAGTTCTTTTGATGGGTTTATTTCATGATCTATAACCAACTTGTTATTTGAGTTATGTCATTCCATTTGCAACTGTTAAGGGCGATAACTGTAATGAATATGTGCCTATTTTTACCTGGACCTAGTCTAAGCATGTCTAAGCTGGTTTCAATATTCATACTGAATTCACCCAGTGGTGAAAGTTCTAACCATACAGTTATGGCCCGGAAAACAGTTATTTTTTGGGGTTTATTCCATGATATATAACCTACTAGTTATAGGAGTTGTAATTACATTACTGTTGAGGGCCATATTTCATCTGTAATGAATTTGTGTCTATTTTTACCCTAGTCTAAGCTGGTTGCAAGGGCCTTCACAACCCAGACGTTTGGGGTATTTTGAGTGATGACACATTTAACTGTACGGACTGTGTCGTGTATAATATGTATTGTTATTGTATGTTATTGTAATCTATATACAAGATATGATAGATATGTATGAATGTGTATATATAAAATAAAATAAAATAATATAATATAATATAATATACATACACATGTAGATATCTTTAGGTATCAGGGTTACAAACGTGCAAATTTCTCCCATCAAATGTGCTGGTTTTAGGCTTGCTGCGGCGAATCGCCGAGTGTTCCGACGGATTTGCCCTGCTGCCCAAAGCCAGGTTGCGTTTCGGGCGGTGGGAGGCAGAAATGATATGGACATCAATATAGGTGCAGCTATGGCCCTAAACAATTGTAAATGGAATGAAATAACTCCTATAACTTAGGTTATATATATATATATCATTATACACCCATTTACAGGCCATAACTGTATCAATATAGGTGATGAATAGTGATACATGGAATAATAGCGATTACTAGGTCAATCTTGGATGGGTAGAAACTAATCCTTTAGTCTTTTGGTATCAATGATAGTATCTAGGTTCACCAGCTCCTTAGTTTTTGGCAGGGTATTTAAGATTGGCCATGTATAAGTGATGAATAGTGATCAATGGAACAATAGTGTTTAATTGGATGATATTGATTATTAGTGATTACTAGTGATCAACAGTGTAATCATCATGAATGGTGATTGTGACATCAACTGGTGATGTAATGTATCAATTTGAAATGACAAGAAGTGAATATAAATGACATATCTATATCAAATGGTGCTGAATAGCGATTAATGCCCTATGGATCCAGCAGTACCTTTTAGAAAATGTGACTGGGGTATGATCACTGGCGGTGTCTCCTTCTCAGGAGGTGAGCTATAGGGATGGAATTAATGAATTCACAATTACAGTGATTTAATGGTGATTAATAGATGAACATTTAGCAAGATTTAGCATAATCCTTTTGAGCCATGATAGTTATACCCTGGTTGGTGAATTTGTTGTTAGTTCTACTACCTAAATTATTGATTTTTGGGTGCATTATGATTATGATAATCCATAGTAGGGAAACCTATCAACCAACTATTTTGTATAATTAGATGATTCACTTGGGATGCGAAACCCTGTTTGAAAGTGGTAGAGATGTTGTACTTTTAGCCAGATGTAGGGCATATTTTGTGTATAGTTCCTGTAGATGTTCATATGGTTATTACCCGCTTACCATACGTTGAGGGTTTCAGAAGGACCGCCTGGAGAGCCACTGGGCCATTTTTTTTTGCATCTCAGCTGAGGTATATCATGAACAAATCGTGGTTCTTTTACCAACAGCAATTCAATACAAGAGTAAAATAGATAAATCACACGTCTTCCCGTGAAGTATTCCCTTTTGAACCCCTACTTGAAATGTGGATCATATCTATTCATTTTTGCATATCGGTGGTCAGGGGAACGGAATGACCCATTGATCGAACATGGCGGGGAAATCTCTTAACTGGAGATAACGGGAAGATCATCTGTAAATGGGGAGATTTCCTATTACCACGTTTGATTACCGGAGGGTACAGATATGGGATCATATCATATACATCCCGGCGGATGGGAAACCGCGCGAGCGTTTTGATTGTTTGCTTCCAGGAGAGTCACAATCACCTGTAATTTACAATATAAAATGCTCTTCCGAACTCTTTGGATAACTGAATTTTGGTTTAAAAAAAGTGGATGCAAAATCTATTGATTTTTGACAAGTCCAGGTAAACATCATGTGCATCAGACGTGGATGCTCAGATTTTTTTTTAACACTCTTCGTCGGCTCAGCGATCCATCAGTGTGGAAGCTGTCTTCGACAGCAAGTTGCCATTATGGCACTCATAACGCCACTGCCAGCAACGCAGGTATAGCATGACATCTCAGCAGCGTAGCAACATGTCACGTAGTAAGCGATCCCAGAGATCTTAGCAACATGGCAGTATATCATGTACGAAGTACAAGGAACGTTAGCATGCCCCCCCACCCCACCCAACCCCAACCCCAATCCACACCAGAGATCTCAGCAGCGTAGCAACATGTCACGTAGTAAGCGATCCCAGAGATCTTAGCAACATGGCAATATATCATGTACGAAGTACAAGGAACGTTAACATGCCCCCCCACCCCACCCCAACCCCAAGACAAAGAGCAATACTCAAAAAAGAAGCAAAACGCACGTACGGTTTTTCAGCCGTAGGCATATACATGCATTTACTATGTAGCTACAAGTTACAATAGCTTGCAATAATATGTTACAGTATCAAAAACAATACATTCAATAGTACTAGCTAATATGCGTTAATTGATAGTTCATTAATATGTTACAATGCCCTTACATTTGCAATAGCTTGAAATATTGATAACGATTGGCTACTCTCCGAAGGTTCATGGCACTCCTTCTTGGTGGCTACAGGTTGCCTCAGTGGTTGAGTAACCTTAAACTATCCCATGCGCGTAGAAAAATTAGCATTCGACCAACCGAAATGTGCAAGCCACATTTCACATGAGTACATAGATGTTGCCAAAATCAGCTAAGTGACTAGTCAGTGGGCATGGCCCCTCGCAATCTAAAGGATTGGGGTACCGCCAAGTCTGGCAACATCTATGGGGAATCATTCAGCAGGAGGGGACCCCCAAGCGATAGGTTTCTTCTGGTTGAAAACTAGGCCAAAGGTAGGGATCGTAGACCAACGTATTTGGGGGAGCTCTTCTTGTATAGTTGAAATAGATCGTAAGCAATAAACCATAATCATTGTTCCAGTGACGTCACGACTGGTTCGGTCATTGTAATTCATCCAGATGGTTGGAGGATGAACCCATTTAGAGACTGGTTTTTGTTGGCCTTTTTTTGGCAGGTTAGCAAGTCATTTGTGGCTTATCCCATAAAAACAAAAACAGCTGGGGAAAACTCACCCCACCTAACGATACCCCATGCTCCATGGTGCTGGAATAAATCGCCAACATTTGCCCAAACAAAATCACCCAGTTTTGTAGGTAAATTTACCAGCACCATGGAGCACATGGGAATGATATAAAATATAAACCATAGTAAGTCTAGATATATCACCAACAAAAACCATAGTGAAATTGGAGTTATAAACGCACCAACTTAGCCAACTATGGGACATCACTTTGGAAGTGGATATTCCAAGTAGGCGGACCTCATGGACCCAGGGAAAACTCCAGGCCGTTTCGTGTGGCGGGGAAATCTCTGGGCCTGGTTTTGCCGCAAGCGGCCAGCCAGCTGCAACGTTTCCCCAAGGACGGGTCGTGCCATAAAAATGGCACCCGAGGGCCTGGGAATGGACACCATCTATGGTCATTTGGGGGGGATGGTTTTAATTTGTTTGTAAACCCTGTTTTCACCCACATTATACCATTTACCCTAGCCATTGTGATAAATGGTATAGTCATAGTTATAGTAGTCATAGATTCCCATTGTTAAATGGTATAAATCATCATAAATCCCAGTGATTTTTGTTTGGATTCTGTGATGATTTCAATGGGACGTCATCACATTTAAGACCATTGACCTACTCACAATCGCACCTTTTTTTCCGATTCAGGTTGAGCGTTTGGCCACTCATAAGCCGCAAATTGAGGGGTTCGATCCATGGAGTCCGTGGTTGTGTCATTGGATTGTCATCTGCGAACGTAATATCTCGTAATTATGTAGTGTGTTAAAGGCATATATTCAATGATGTGTTTTTTCTTGGTGAAACCCAGTTTCCATATATGTTCTTGTTCATAGAACTAGCATTTGTTTAATGTAATTGTTGATATACGTGTTTCGATTTGTTTGGTGGCAACAGCCATGTCATCATAGGAATTCAAGCCCTCTCGGAGCTGACCAACAATGAGAGTCTAACAACCAGCACCACTGGATGAGGTCCTAGTAACCATCTATCATCACCTATTGTTGGGATATGTACTATATATATATGGCTGCACTGAACACTTAAAACACATGATTATATTTTATTTGCATAGATATTTATAGTTAGTTATCACCATGATCTCACAGTAAACCTAGTGACTATATCCTCCAATACTATGTTTGTCATTCTTGTAACATTGATATATCGAGGATAGTTATGACTGGTCTATTTTTTTGATCGTACGTTCAAACTAAAAAGATAGCAACGTCATATGGGCATTACTATTGCTAGTATTATCGTATTATAATCTATTATCATGAGCATATCTCAGTGCTTGATAATTTGATTACAAAATGACTATCATGAGTATCCTAACAAGATTATCTCAAAATCTAACTGTTAAACTTGTGGTTTGTGAAACTCTAACTACCCATGTACATCCACTAATATATGTATATATATAATTATATATATATAAATATTATATATATCATGATATAACTATCATAAGCCCACTAAGAGTCACTCATATACATTTTTTGATATTACTATCAGAAGTGGGGCCCCTCTTGGATAGCTAAGTTGGTTTATAACTCCAACAACTGTGGATTATGATACTTATAACTATAGTTAAAGGGCTTGATAAGCCAACAGACATGATGGGGGGGGGCGTGAAAAAAAACAACAACATCTAACTAATATGGTATATCTACTATAAACCCGGCAACTTTGCAACCAACTTAGCTAACCATGGGGCCCCGCATCATAAGTGGTGTCTCTGTTTTCAGGTCTTTGAGGTCAGCGACACTTCCGTGGAGCTGCTGGCAGGTCGGGGCAAATTATAACGACCTCACTGTTCTCCCGAACCCTGAAATCATGGTTAATCAAGGGAGTCATCCAAAAATGGCCGCAAGATTCAGGCTAGTGAAATATTATAATTTACCCAGATATGTATATATATATATATACATAAATATAATGGTGATTTAATGGAATGTATAGCTGATTTATGATTGCTAGCTTGAACTAACTGGGTTAACTGGGGTTTGTGGCACTTATCACCATATTGATGTGGGATTATTACCATGTTGCAATATAACTTGCGGGTCCCCTATATTTTTATCTATCTATCTATCTATCTATCTATCTATCTATCTATCTATCTATCTATCTATCTATCTATCTATCTCTCTCTATACATACATGCATACATACATACATACATACATGCGTGCATGCATACATACATACATGCATGCATACATACATACATGCATGCATACATACATACATACATACATAGAATCACCAATCAGCCGGCTGTACTTGATGTTTTCACCATCAAAAATGCTGACTTCACCAACAGTACTGGTGGCACAATGGAAATCAAATTGGCATATCATGGATAATGATCTCGATGAATTACGATGACTTCACTGTGACGTCACTGGAATGAGGCCCCCGTAAACGAAATCGCCAAGTTGACGCACATAACTTGGGTCAGTGTTCGGTTGATTATGGGTGACATAACAAGCTAGTTCATGGGGTGAATCTAAACCAACAAACATAACCTCTGGGTTTCACCTTATGTTTATATTATAGTATATATATAAGTATTCTCAATCCTGGTGATATAGGATTATCTTATGCGGGCTTTTTTGGGACATCACGGTTTTTTGGTTTGGAACATGTGTTGTGCCTTTCCATATATTGGGAATAACAATCCCAACTGAAGAACTCATATTTTTCAGAGGGGTAGGTATACCACCAACCAGATCATCTATATATTTTTTCCAGGTACTGCACGACGATTTTCATGTCACATCCTTAACTCACCAGACAAAGAACGGCACAGATTCGTATCACATGTTGCTTTGTTTTTATTATCATCCATAGTTTTTTTCCCATGTATTGTTTGTCTTCTGAATTTACAGAGTATATGTATAGTAGGTGACCAGCAGATAGAATTGTTTTCTTATACTTTTGATTTTTACTCTGCAAATAAAGATCTTGTTTCTGATCCACATCATCTTATTGGTGCTTAGCAGGGAATGTGGGAATGATCCACTGGCTGACTATCAATAATAATCCCATTCCCCCATTCCCATCCATTCCCGTGTTTAGCACCAGTAAGATGAATCGTTGCTTTGCCGGTGACGTTTGTCATGGATGATGATCAACAATTACATCAACAAAGTCATCATACCCCAGTCATCATACCCAGTCATCATACCCCAGTCATCATTTCCCAGTCATCATACCCCAGTCATCCCCAGTCATCATACCCCAGTCATCATACCCCAGTCATCATACCCCAGTAAGTCATGTTCCTGTTTCTGATTTGTGGAGGCACTTCGGTCGAGACACGCTCAGAGGCCAGGTCAGCTGGGTTTTGGCCAGGGCTTCCTCGAAAAAAAGTGCCAGTGGTGAAACTCCGTGAAACGACGACGACGACAACAACAACAACAGCAACAACAACAACAACACTTACTGGATATGTTCCTGGTATATATATATATATGTAACCACCAACTCATGGTTTAATATCTAAATAGTACAGTTTTGGCAGCTTTTGGGGTCTGTTTGATCAGCTGGTGTAGATGGGACAACAACAACAATCCCCTTCTGTCGTGGGGATTCAACCTACCAGTAGGTCAGTGGGTTGAGTCGCCATGATGTAGCAATTTCTGGGGTATATATGCAGCAGACCCCATTTCCAGACACATCCATATTGTTACACATCCTTTTGTACATGTATATCGAATCATAGCAATGATTGACACATATATATATATATATTTATATACGTATGTATATATATATATACGTATGTATATATATATATATGTAAATGTATATATATATATATGTATATATATATATATATATGTATATGTATATTATATTCTCAGGATATCTCCATCTAGATGAATCATAACGACCTCACGTCGGGATCGGATCCCTGGTTGTAGCACCAGGCTGAGCAAAGCTAGGTCTGACTCTAACCAGCCACACTTAAGGGCATCCGGTCCATGTGATACTTGAGATGAGCGTGTTGTTTATTTTAGTGTTTCCATATTTATCCCAATCACCCTTAATTAAGTTGAAGTATGTATGGGATGGGCATAAGGTACAGAATTCCTGCAGTTACAGCCCTTAACAACTGTAACTGGAATTATAAATCCTATAACTATAGTTTGTTACAGATCATGAAATAAAATGGAATATACCCATAATAACTTTTAGTTGGGCCATAACTGTGTTCCCATGATATCTCCGGCTGTTGACATCGCCATGATACGTTGACGTCTCAAAATCAGGCCGTGGCAGCGGTCCTTCAGCAACTGCAGGAGGAGGCCGGAGGGTCAGGCCACGGATCGTGAGTGGCTCATGATGTTTTAATGGGTTTTAATTGGTTTTAATGGAAATTAACGAGATTCAATGGGTTTTCATGGGTATAAATGGAATTTAATTGGTTTTAGCGGGATTTAACGAGATTTAATGGTTATTTAAATGGAATTTAATTGGTTTTAGCGGGATTTAACGAGGTTTAATGGGTTTTCATGGGTTTAGAAGTTTTAATGGGATTTAATGAGTAATTGGTTTTCATGGGTTTAAATGGAATTGCATTGGTTTTAATGGGATTTAACGAGATTTAATGGGGTTTAATGGGTTTAACGCGATTTAATTTGTTTTCATGGGTGTCAATTGGATTTCATGAGATTTAATTTGTTTTAATTGGATTTAATGTGATTTCATGTAATGTAGTGGGATTTAATGGAGACATAATTGATGATTTGCAGTTACTGCTTAGTAACCCTAGATGATTATGAACCAGTTACAGTACGTTTCGTGGGATAGATCAAAAATGATCAAAACCAGGTAGATAACGTTGGTTGAACCAACTTGGTGAACTTGGTAATTTATGGCACAAATTACTATACTTACAATGTGAGGCCCCGCAGTGATGTGAATGTTGGTTTATAAGCCCCAGGAATACTATAGTTATTTGTGTACCATAAACCATGGTGAAATTGGAGTTTTTTGAACCAACTGAACGCTATCGTGGCCGGGGGCCTCACATTGTAGGGATAATCACTAATGGGATTGATAGGTGATTTATGATAGCTAAGTTGTTTTTTGTTTATCAGGTTAACCAGGGTTACAGTAGTTGTAATACTTAGATGCGATTACAAAGCAACAAACATAACTGAGGGGCCCCACATTGTAGAAAAGGAATACTTGAGCACTGACCCAAAGGAACAATATTAGCATGTGCACCCATTTTTGCATTTTTGTCGGTACTTAGAGGGTTGATATTGCCTGTTTAGCCAATTGAGCAGAGTTCAAAAGCATTCAAAAATCGAAATGTCATCTCTTGAAACGAGTTGGTTGAGAACAGGATTCCCCTATTCGTTTAGTCCCAACCGACTAGGGGCGTGTTGTGGTTCTGCAAAGTTTCGGTAATGGGGTAAACCCAACACTAAACCTGCCGTTTGGGTATATTTTGTCTTACCAACCAATTATGGTAATATTGGGTATGGTCATTATGTATGTTTTGTTGTTGGATTTATCACATCAAGTTACTTTTCAATTTCTTTGGGGGATACTATTTTCTGACTCGTAAATTATTGTTCTATTCTCTTGTGGTTATGATATTTCACATCCAATATCAACATATCTCCATGTGAGTCGGAACGAATCATGTCCCTTGGATCTGAAAGATATCCGTTTCTTACAATGGGGGATCCCCAAGTCACCATGGCGTTCGATAATAAAATGGTCATCCATGACTTGGATGATGCAAGGGGGTACCCCCATGACTTTTCGGAAACCTCCATACAATTATATGGGGATGGGTCAAAAGCATTCAAAACCTATTATTACCACATTTTTGGGAATAACCATTTAAACATCCATAAACCAGCTATTTGGTGGTACCATCCAGGTACCATTTAGCTACTCTTTTTTGGCACCCTGTTGTGATGTTGCCTTGCTGTGAGGACGCTGTGCCCATGCTGCGCGGCTGGCGAGATGAGGTGAGGGATTTGACTGGGAAAATGCTACTATCCTGTTAAACACAGGGTATATGTCTTGGTTAGATAATGGGAAAATGATGTTGGACAGGTAGGAATGATGTTTGGTTGGGTATGAACAGGAGTAAATGTATGTAAAATGTCCTAGATAATGAAGATTTTGAACATCACTGCCGTATCTATTGAAGATTCCCAATCCTTTGGTGTTCAGGACATTTACCAAGCCCTGTTTTTTTCGCATCGATTGTCATTTCTTGATGATCCAGAGGTTAGGATTTGTCTTCCCATCCGGGATGGTTCTTCCAGAAATTCCTCCGTACTACAGCAAAAAAGGTTGGGCATCCAATCCGGTCACGGAGAAATCATGTGAATCTGGGTTTAATCCCCTACTGGGTTTAGACAAACCCAGGCGCTGGGATGTCCTTTTCCCATTGGTTGGTTGATTAATAAGGGTTTGAAGGTTTACCCCTTTAACAGGTAAATGATGATAGATGGGATTAACCAGCTCCCGGCCCAAACCTATTTTTACCAAAAGGACATTGGTGAACCCAGATACATTTGGTAAATCTTCCGAAGTGTAGGTATACCATCGAAATCATATATCCAGTAATGGGATGAACGACAAAAAATCCTCATTGTTTGCCTTCAACTGTATAGTAAAATAAACCAAACTGAAATATGTTCGAGGCGTAAACGATCCCCACTTCTTTCCGCTCCAAATGGTGGTATACAGGTATACAGTGCTTACAATGTGGGCCTCCCCCCATTCACATTTTTTTTAAAATAATGTGGGTCCCCCCATTCATAATTTGTTTTTATATAATTCCATCTATATAATTACAGTCACACCTAAACCACAAACCCAACAGTTAACCGTAGACCATGAACTTTAAAATCCCAACAGATAACCACCTACTATTCCATTCATATTGCATATGATACTCCAATATATAATATTAATATTAATATTAATATTAATATATATAAATGTATATATATATATATGTATATATATATATATATCATACTGTATCCACTTCTCCTCGAATTATATCCACCGTTCACGAACTCGAACTAGCTAGAACATGTTATGAAAATAAAATTAGCTACATAAAATCCAAATATCAATCTCCATCCCACGGTTATATCTTAGCCTTTAACAGATATTACTGGCTCAGAAAACCTCTTTTAAGTGATGTATAACCAACTAGTTGCAGGACTTATAATAACATTCTATATTTTAAAAGGGTTTAATGGGCCATATGGGGTTTCCTAAAATGGTGGCAACCCTAAATCTTCCATTAAAAAAAAGGGTTGTCCTTTATAAACCATCCATTTAGGGGTACCCTTATTTATGGAACCTACCATCTGGTAATTTAACATAGCTATTGAAAATGGCAGTTTATAGTGGATTTTCCCATTCAAAATGGTGGATCTTTCCATAGTTATTTCCATAGTTATGTTAGTTTACCAGAATCTTTAGAATTTCCATAGTTATTTCCATAGTTTATTTCCATAGTTATGTTCGTTTACCAGTTATGTTTGTTATTTCCATAGTTATTTCCATAGTTATTTCCATAGTTATTTCCATAGTATATCTGTAGAATCCGAATCTTCATGGCCCTTTACGCCGCATTCGTCTACAGGCCTGGCCCGTGAAGGCCTCGTTTCACCAATTGCCCGCGCTTGTGATCGCCCCTTGGGTTACGAAGAAGCCAAGTTGATGGATACCTGAAGAGTAGCACTTAGAATATCTTACCCATGACGGATCCATGGTGCTGCCATATATGGTAACATGGCTCCCATTAATATACCCCCATTATGTTAGCATATATACCAGCACCATGGATCCTATGGGTTAGAATAAATGGTTAATAGTTAATATAGAGTGTATTAGATTGTTACTATGGTTTGTTAATGACTGTTTTCAAAGTAGTCAACAATTAAATTGTTAATAAGTGGGCAATTCATTGTTAACGGTTTATAATTATAGGGGTAACCATTAAATATAAAACAATTTCTTTAACCATAGCTATAGTTAAACTATCGGTAAACTGTTAATAAATGGTTAATAAAATATAGCTCATACCCTCCTGTAAATCAGTAAACTCGCATAGCTTTGGAAAATTACTATTTAGTTCGATGATTTACCTACACAACATGGTGATGTTCCATAGTTGTAAAACAAAACAGAGGGTATATAATGGCTAATGAATGGTTAATAAGTGGTAAATTGTTAATGGATCATAACTTATGGTTAGTAATTGATAATTATAGTTAAATTATGCAGGGTAATACAGTGTTTAACAAATGGTTAATGACATTTAACCTAGGTAAAAGTAGTTCAACTAATAATCCATAGTCAACTACGATAAACTAGCTAAACTACTTTATATTCTGAACAACATAATTCAAAAGGTGAACTAGAGGTATTAAATGGTTAATATATTATGAATACATTATTAACAATCCTCAATATGACATAATAGTAGCACGATCCCGTCAACCCCAAAAAAAGATGCCGGAAAGATAATACCCCCAAATAACTATAGACTATAACTGGCAAGGTACCGTTGGTGTAGTACACCCTTTCCCCCATTTTAAACTAAACACCCCCAAGGAAGTATGGTAAAAAAAAATAGGGGAAGCCGTTCCGAAAGGTGATCTGAACATAGGAAAACAAATGTAAATCCTATTTTGGGACTATTAACATACATCTGTTAATCTAAAATCTAAATAGTATGTTTGGAACTGTATTAACAGTTTGGGACTATTAACATACAGATCTGAAAATGTAAATCTTTGTTATTTTGGAACTATTTAACTATTTACTAATCAAGCTTTTGACGAGAGTTTGCAGAGTATCCAGGATTCTAAGATTGTCACTAGATACCTGAAGAACGTTGGGAAGGTGGTTGTTTCAGTCAGATTTGCCAGAATCAAAAGTGCAGGCTTTGACATGCTTGGGAAATGCTGACGACCATGTTAGAACAACGTTGGAGGTTTAGTGGAGGTTATCTTCAGCCTCGGAGTGGAGACAAAACAGATGGGTATGTTCCACACTCGGTCAGTCACAACCAACGACACCAACATGACTATGAGGAGCCTCAAAACTGCTTTAGTGGGAACTGATATTGATACAATGTGAGCTCCCCAAGATAGCTAAGTTGGTTTATAACTCCAATAACTATGGTTTATGGTACTTATAACTATAGTTACTGGGGCTTATAAACCAACTAACATCACTGGGGGGCCTCACATTGATAATATTGGTCCCTCAACATCGCCGATGCCATCAGCTGGGCCTGTCTACGCCTTGCAGCGAGACTCAACAGGGACAAGAATTGAACAAGGCCAGCTTGGTCCTGCTGGGCCAGAAGGTCAGTTAGGTGTTGCTGACCAAACCATGGAAGATAGCAAAGGTCAGAACTTCTACGAAAATGGACATGTTTTTTCCGGATTGATGACCATACAACATATACCAAAGTGCTCATATATTCTCCCAATATGTACCCGTTATGCATTTACCCCGATCGTCGTCATACCATGAACGAGAACAGTGACAGGACTATCAAGATTTTGGGAATGTGCCAGCCCATAGAAAACTTATCATATAATAAAAAAACAATTCATATAACATCTAGTATAGAACGACATACATTCCTTTTCGATTGTATATAATCAAGACCTTGAACGCTGAAGTCCTGATTAATCGTTTGGACGTTCATCCTACTTTGATGGGGACAACCTGCTGAAACATGGAACAAACCAACAATAGACGACTTTCCTGGATGGTCAATACGAGGTGAGTTGATGAAGTTAATCGTATTTGAGTGTTCATATCAAGTATTCCAGCTCATTAAAGTATGCCTGCGCAAATGCTTGTCTTGCAGGTTGAGCCGTTTCAATTTTAGAAGCATACTAAACTATATACCTTTTGGTAATTTAACATAGCTAAGGAACATAGCCCATCTATATTATAGTTTACGCATTAAAATATCATGTATTTTTCCGTGGTGATGTTAAATTACCAGAGGGATCCAGAGGGTAATTGTTTTGGACTAATGAAGGAATACACCTTCAAAAAGTAGCCAACAGACATATTTGTTCCTGTTTCCGGGTCTCTAGATTTTGCCATGGGAAGAAATCCAGCCCCTCACTAAGCCCTTTTGTTGGTGAGGAACGTTCTGCCGGGCCCTTCTTTGGCGTGCCCGGATTTGGGTGCCTTTCTCAGAAGGGCCGCAGGGTGATCGTGTTAGTTGTGGGGGATGGTTTTTCAAAACTGGTTGGTGGTTTGGAACATTTTTTATTTTTCCATGTATTGGGAATAATCATCCCAATTGACGAACTCATATTTTCAGAGGGGTTGAAACCACCAACCAGAAAAGAATGACGTAGTATTGAATAATGACGTATTTGCTGGCGACGCCAATATGAAAAAATAGTTTTATTTTTTTTAATGATGTTTTTATACCCCAAAAGTCTTAACAAAACAAAGAACCTTTCGTTTCTTTGTTCATCGTTACGGTACAGTATATATCCAAGACTATCGAATAACGAAACACAAGAGGTATGCCACATAACAATACATAACAGGTATCAAATTACTTGCCATGCTGTTTTGTGTCATTCTTTTGAGATAACTCGTGATTTAACCAACAAAAACATGAGGTTACAAAGGGCATAGAACCAACACAAATAGGTGATTTAGCCAACAGAGTGATATGGGTGATTTAACCAGCAAACATGGTGCTAGAATCATGGGGATGTAGCCAACAAACATAACTACAAGGTTTTGCCCCCAATCTTTAGCTAAGTTGGTTTATGGAATTTTGCCCTGCACACAGAAGACAAGCAGCTGGGGCCGGGGGCAGCTCCCAACATTGCCCAACATCCCGGGAACAAAATCGACATCCACATTTCAGGACTTACATATACTATTGTGCACTGACATGAGAATTGTTGTTCTACATGTTGGGTACCTTCTTGACTTCCTCAAGCACCGGTTTTGGTTTTCTGATTGAACATTGATATTTGATGATATTTGGAGGTTGGGGTCCCACCTTTTTTTTTATGAAATCTCCATAATTGGTTATTTACACATATTCATAGGTCATTAAATGTCCCCATTGAACATCACCCAACCATTAGGTATATGGTCAATGCCATGGCTACTTTTTCAGGTGATGTCCAATATACCCAAAATGGGACATTTAATGACCCATGATATTGGCGTGTTGATCACTTCAAACAAATATGTCCATTGTTAGCTGCCGGGTCCGCCAGGTGTCACATCAATGGGATCGTGAAAGATAAACTGTGGGTAACTTGTCCAAACTTGGGAGTGATGTAATGCATTGGTTTATGGCAACCCCAAGTGATAGATAGAAAATTTATGAAACTTTGAAACCTGGAAATATGTATATTGAAACATGTTACCCTCTGGTTATTGAACATAGCCAAGGAAATAACATGGTCCATGTATAGATGGTTTACCTATTAAAAATGGTGATTTTCCATGGCTATTCTAGTTTACCAGATGGTAAATATCATCGAACTTGACCTCCTGAAAACACTTTTGGGCATCTTTCTTGGGAAGGAGCCAATGTACTTCGGCATCATTGGCGGGTAGGAATGAGGCGGACCAAAGCAAGCAGCTTGCAGGCAGTTTGCAATCATACCAGCCCAGACATAAATACACATATAAATAAATAAGTATAAATGTATATTATACTTAAATATGAATACATATACACGTCCATACATACCTGTATGTATCTGTATATCTTGTAAACAGCTGTGCTGCTCTGATCCGATGTTCGAATCCGATTCCTCCATGGAAAATCCTTGGGTTTCGTCAAGCCATGATATGAAACGATACCATACAAAGTGGTGCCCCCCAGTGATGTTAGTTGGTTAACAAAAGCCCCAGTAACTATAGTTATAGGTATCATAAACCATAGTTATTGGAGGTATGTTCACCAACTTAGCTATCGAACGGGGGCCTCACATTGTAGGGAAATGATATGACATGTTTGGAAAATCATAGGGAAATGATAGCCAATTGGTATCCAATTGGTTATGACATACCTCTTACTTACCTAGTCATACCGAACGCGCCACGGAGCAATTCCACTGATTCTCCGTTCTTGTCCCATATCAGTATCCCAGAATCATTTCATAGTTGCTCATATCATACTACCCTCTGGTAATTTAACGTAGCTATGGAAAATCACCATTTTTGATGGGAAAACTCACTATAAATGGCAATTTTCAATAGCTATGTTAGTTTACCAGAGGGTATCCAACATGCTAGTGTTGATAAATTGATCATTTTTTTTGATGCATCCTAACAATCATTATAGTAAATCACATCATTATATATGGTAAATATAGTAAATTATCCTAACAATAGATTTACTATATTTAATATATCCTAACAATCATATAGTAAATCACATCAAGAAATATGCCAGTGTATCCCCATGACATGATTGGTTGGAACTCCATGAAAATCCGCATGATCATTGGATTGCTTGGAAGATCTTCACCGGAAACCATGGATTGTTCCATGAAATATGGGGTTTTGTATGCAAAATTCCCTTAAAAACCAATCCAGTGATAGAATCATCCAAATAAATTATAATATAATCCAATATGTCATATAGAACAACATAGATATATACATTACATATATCAGAAAGAATAGAAAAAATGGTTCATATTTGGATGATCTATATATATATGACATATATATGACATATATATGACATATCTCATCACCCAAATCATCCCAGTGATGACATTGGAAAAATCTGACAAGTCATCCCATTGATCCCATTGATCCCAGGTAGCAAAGCGGGCTCAAAGCAAGCCCACCTATCCTGGGCATTTGGACCACCTTGTGGCAGGCGAGGGCGTCATCTTGAAAACCACCCAATGATGTTTTTGTGTAGACATATGTCCATATGTATATATGTATGTATGTATGTATGTATGTATGTATGTATGTATGTACGTACGTACGTATGTATGTATGTATGTATGTATGTATGTATGTAATGTATGTATGTATGTATGTAATGTAATGTAATGTAATGTAATGTAATGTAATGTAATGTAATGTAATGTAGTAATGTATGTATATATTTATATAACTATGCAACTGTTCAATATATATATATAATATTATATATATATATAGATATATATATAGATGAGTTTATAATGACCTCACTGTGACGTCATTGGAAGGATGGTGAGGAATAGAGGAATCACTCCGAAGTTGCCTTAGTTTATTTTAACTATTTCCAGGTTCATGAATGATCATCATTCAGCCAGTATTAAATATATGTATATATATATATATTCCCAAAAAGATGCCGAAAGTGGTTCCAGGAGGCTAGAGATGAGATCAAAAAAAACATATGTTGAGGTGTCCCGCTCACCTATCTATGACTCGGGGATGCAGCAAACAAATGTAATATCACTAAACATGTGTCGTTTCAGGTGACTATATACATACATACAGGGTTGCTCATTGCTCCAACCAAATATGGGTAAATTAAAGTCACCAGGGTGGTAAATTGGTCATTTTTCTTCTGTTTGGAGCAACCCGTGGGGGGCTGAGAAGTTGGATTATAATCCTAACCATAGCTACAAGTGCCATAACCCCACACGTTAACCAAGTTAGTTCAACCAACTTAGCAATCATAAACCAGCTATACATCCCACTAAACCACAATTGTTCGCCAGGTTCAATCACCATTTTCCGATGCTTTCCTACGGTTTCCCCATCGGTTTCCCTATGGGTTTCGTCAAGACACGAGGTGGGCTGTCAGAAGGCGAGCTTTGCTGCGACAATGTGTCCGGTGACCTGGGATATTTGTTTTTGGAGGTTTGGGGAATTTGCCATGAAAAATGTTGGTGAAATGAAGTTTTTCATGGCGAAAAATGCCCAAAATTTATATGGTTTAATATGACAAACAGGGCTTATACCATGTTCTTCATGGAAATCATCATGTTTAATGGATTTCTTAAATTATTTTTATAGATATGGGAGTATATAATCTAGAATTTGACATATGGTTGTGTCTGAAAATTGGGCACACCCACCGAACATAATGTTGAAAGTGGAAATGATGATCAGCGAGTGGATTTTAAGGGTCACCTATTTTCAGACAAAACCATCATATTTATAGAAATAGATATGTGATATCAGGTGTACAGGTAGTAGACATATATACAGATGTGATTAATATACAGGTGATAGTGTGATATTGTAAACCTATATACAGATGTAGATCTATAGAAATAGACCTCTCGATGGATCTACAGCTCGCCGGCGGTAGAGGTCAATACTTATACCCATATAGGAACTAGAGGAACTACCTAAAGTTTCCATTGACCCTCTGGTAATTTAACAGAACTATTGAAAATGACCATTTATAGTTCTCAAAAGGCTTCGGAGTCCGGAGGAATTCCCGCATCAGCACCATGCCGGTCAATCGGAAATCAAACATGGCTGGAGTTCATTTATGGATGGTTTTCCGCATAAGACCTGCATCAAAATACCCTATGGATCCAGCCGTATCTCCTATGGATCTGTGTGACTGGGATGATTAGTGTCAACCGTACCTTCTCAGGATTTCTCAGGTGTCACCGGGATCCATAGGGATAGGACCAGCCAGCCATGCTTGATGACTTTTTGTTGGTGCTAAAGGCACTGGTCAATTTCCAGAGGGTTGGTCAGATACGGCATCCCCAAGCTTGGGTGATGTCGCGCTAGGCCGGACCAGCTTCGTTGAGATATCCATGTTGTTGGGTGATATCCCGCCAGTAAATCCCGAAAAAACGTCGCCATAACAAGGTAAGCTAGATTTTCTACTTCCGAGTGCCAAGATAGCTAAGTTGGTTTATTACTACAATAACTGGGGTTTATGGACGTTTATGGTAGTTACAACTACAGTCCGGTGGGCTTAAAAACCAACTTATAAACTAGGGGGCCCCACATTGAAGCGTTCATATTAATATCCTGAAAATCTCAGACATCTCACAGTTATGGCCCAACTAACAATTGTAAATGGAATGAAATAATTCCTATAACTAGTTGGTTATATATGGGTTTTATATCATGAAATAAACCCATAAAAATCACTGTTTTCCGGGCCATGCAGTTGCCAGGATCCGTGAGTGCTGGGAAGAAGCGCGAGTGCCAAAGGAACTTGCCTCGAAAGCTTCCCCTGCCGGAGTGGTGTCCTATGTGCAGGAAGATGAAACAGGACGCGGTTTCACCGGTCAGCCTGTCGATGTATATAGAAATACATAGATATGATATATACATATATATATATAGATATACATATATACATAGATATAGATATATAGATATACATATATACAAATACATATCCATACATATAGATATACACAGTTAAATAGTTGCTATATAGATATGCATAGGATCATCATAGATCATTATCCAAGTACTAACTACATTTATGGCCCAAAATACCAATTATAAAGTACCAACAAAAACGCATAAAAATGGTTCATGTATAATCCCATTGAAATAACCAGTTATAACCAATGGCCATAACTGCGGTGGATATCGAAACATATGAATTTATGGAGAGGGAAAGTGAGCATATGTTAAAAGAATGGTCTGTCAAAAAACTTGTTCGGTAGAAATAGAATCACCAATGTGACAAGAACACATGTGTAATTTGTTGTTTATCATGTTTGGAACCGTACATGAATCACATGAATTTGATCCATATTTGTCGCAGAAAGATATCGTAGGCCTTTGTTTCATTTTGGGAACTGGGGTGTTTCCCTTGCGCAACGCCACCTTTGCGATTAACCAATCGCAGGGGTCCTTCTGAACGGGACGACCATGGAATTGCCATTTGAGTATGATACGATGCAGCATCAAAAAATGAATGATGTTGGAATGCATCCAATTTTTGTCGTTCCTGGTTTATCACCCAGTTTACTGTGTTGGAATATGTCTTCAGTTTTCAGTTTGTTTTTGAGTACGTGAGTATGTATATTTGTGTGCATGTAGGTGTTACTGAAGAAAAATGATGCAGGTCAATCGGAAGTTGACTATCTACTGCTCGGAAATAATGAAGCAAAATTCAGGAACCTAGCCAAAAATAAGCCTTGGTGAAAATGGCGATGTTCAACCTTATGTCGAAGGTTCGAAACAGCAGGTTTCCAGCTGTTCCACATCCCATGGTTTGGAAACCTCGGCACTTTCCCATGGGAAACTGCCAAGAATTGGGTGTTTTCAATGATTCAATGTGTACCCTCTGGTAAACGAACATTTTTCTATGGAAAGATCCACCATTTTTAATGGGAAAACTCACTATTTCAATGGCCGTTTTCAATAGCTATGTTAAACTACCAGAGGGTTTTTTTGCAGCTGTAACTGATTCATATTTATTCGCGGACACTCCTTACAGCGGGTGATCAAGGGTGTATCTTTTTCGCATGTCCAAAAGCGGCAATCTGACAAGTTGATTCGCGACGAAGGCGAGGAATCATAAGATGCTCGTTCGATTACATGTGGAAAAAGCAATCAACATATCACTTGGAAAACCATTAGTTATTGGGGTCAATTATGGGTTACCACTACTATGGTGTCTTAACCCCATGAAAATCCTAGTGACTGGAAAATTGCTAGAAAATTCCAATGACTCATTTTGTCCCGGGTTTAACTGTATTGGACTATCGCTACTATTGGGGGTGAAATGAGTCTTTTGACTCTCAGGGAAACTAGTCTTGGTTTGGTATGAACTATCCAGGTCAATATTGAGAACATGGGAAGTATTGTTTCTTTTTTTTATACATTCCCATGATTCGGGGAGACGCCTTTTTGGTGTCACGTGGAAAGCAAACGAAAGGTACAACACCAATAATACCCATAGAATCCATGGTGCTGGTATATATGCTAACATTGGGGGTATATTGATGGGAGCCATGTTACCATTTATAGCAGCACCATGGATCCTATGGGATGTATGTATATGTTCACACGTATACAATGCGAGGCCCCCAAGATATCTAAGTTGGTGCAAATAACTCCAATAACTATGGTTTATGGTACACAACTAACTATAGTATTCCTGGGGTTTTGTTAACCAACGTTCACATCACAACAGGGGGCCTCACATTGTATATGTATATGTTCACACGTATATGATACATATGACATATAATATACCTCGTCATTTAACCGTGGCGGGCGATGATCCATTTGCAGAGGAAAAACAGGGGTTGTGAAGCACCACAACAGGTTTTGGTTAAGTGTATAGCTCTACAGTTTTGGCCCTTTACCGGTTATAAGTTATCCATTTTTAGTTCATGTTTCTCATCCCATAGAAATGAGCAGTTATTTCACTAATAGCCATGGCCATAACCCAACATTCACATCATGACCATCCTGCAATTGCAACCACTGCAGGATGGGGTATCAAGCGTGATGTCCTGTTTTGCCACTGGTCAGCACAAAAAAACCGCCGAATTAGATGGGAAAGTTGCGCTGTCGAAGCCGGCGAACTGTTGGATTGACGGTGCATATATTGAATCTATAGATTCTATATAGTTTTGATGGGTTATGAACCAACCCTACAACTGGGGACTGCACTCCCTTGCAGGAACCGGAAGTCTATCAATCTTACCCGCAGCCATCGAATGATGGAACTGTAAAAACGCACGTAGAAGTGACACAACGGCTAGTTCACCAGTAATTGTGGGAACATGTATATAACTCAAACGAGATGAAAGGGTATTTGCCTCTCTTGCTTCAAGTTTGTAGCTAACTCCACGCGAGGAATGGGTGATGGGTTTCTTTGTTCCTTATAAAGCTATGATTCGATATATCCGGATGCTGGCCCCGGTTGCGAATTGGGGGAACGAACGATCAACAACTGCCAGCTGGAGGCTGACCCACAGAATCTGAAAGCAGAAAAACATGGCCATGTTTTGGAGGATTCTGTCGCCTCCATGATGAACAGTGATAGCGTAGCATAGCTGTTTGGGGCTTTATTTGCGCCGCATCTTCTTTGAACAGTGGTTTCAGAAAAGTGTCCAATACCCCCAAGCCTTCAACCCCTTTTCACAAACGTTGTTTTGGAAGAAAAGCCAAACTGAGTTGGTCTGTTTCGGCGCGATATTGGCTGCTGAACAAATTGGTGATGAACAACTTGAATTTAAGGTTGAAGTTCCTCTCCATAATATGTTCAGAGTTATAAGCCGATTACTTTATCTAGGGGCCAACCACCTTGTATTGTGCTGAAAGGTAGGAAAAACGACACTCATCCTTGTGCATTGTAGACTTATCTCCCCCCTATTTTGATGTACTTGTGGCAGTCTAACCTGGAAAAAAAACAATGGACTGATGTTTTTCCTTTAAGGCATTGTCCAGTGGCCAGCAGGATGGATGACACTGGACAGTGATGTGAAGTGTTTCTGTGTGACATACATGATTTCTGTCCAAAAAATGTTGTTCCAATCCCCATTCTTGTGAATACATCCATTCTTGAAGATAATGTGTCCTTTTTTCACACTCAAGAGATTTCAAGATTTCTGTCCATCAGACTAGGAATATGGTTTCTTTTGCAATTCGATATATCTCTGTTCATTTCACCCACTCACAAAAGTCTTTTTCCCCACATCTTTGTGTGGGGTTCTTGTTTTTGATTCTGTATCCCGGGCTTCTCCTCCTCCTCCCGCCGCCTCCGTAACACAACACACACAAACTTAACATACAATAATTTCACACACAAACTTAACACACACAAACTTAACAGACAATAACTTCACACACACAAACTTAACATACAATAATTTCACACACACAAACTTCACATACAATAATTTCACACACAAAAACTTAACACACACAAACTTAACACACACAAACTTAACAGACAATAACTTCACACACACAAACTTAACATACAATAATTTCACACACACAAACTTAACATACACAAACTTAACACACACAAACTTCACACACACAAACTTAACAGACAATAACTTCACACACACACACAAACTTAACACACACAAACTTAACATACAATAATTTCACACACACAAACTTAATATACAATAATTTCACATACACAAACTTAACACACACAAACTTCACACACACAAACTTAACAGACAATAACTTCACACACACAAACTTAACATCCAATAATTTCACACACACAAACTTCACATACAATAATTTCACACACACAAACTTAACATACGCAAACTTAACAGACAATCATTTCACACACACACACACACACACACCGTCGTTTTGCGTGGCAGGCGTGGTACACATGGCACTGGGTGGCGCACTTGGTGACATCCACCCTCGTTTCACGTGGCAGGCGTGGCACAAAACTCGCATCCACCGTCGTTTTGCGTGGCAGGCGTGGCACTCATGGTACGAAGACTGTACGCTTAAAGTTATAAGACTTTACAGACTTAGCCTAGATATAGAGAAGTTAAAGGATTTATGTTGGAAGTTAGCATGACTTATCAAAAAGATAAAAGGAAGTTATGTTAACTTTAATAACTTATTTGTAAGTTTTGTCTTAACTTTTCGTAACTTCTGCTAACTTTTTATAACTTCTGCTAACTTTTTATAACTTTTCATAACTTTTTGTAACTTTTTTGTATATTTTTATACTTTTGAAAGTCTTTGCCTTGGTTTCCGACCACGTGGATTTTATAACTGTCTTGTTTCTGAAAGAACTTTCAGATATGATATCCTTTTTTTGAATCGACGAAGTGATGTGAAAGCCATTTTTATCTGAACTATAGCCATTTTTATCTGAACTATAGCTATTTTTGTCTGAACTATAGCTATTTTTGTCTGAACTATAGCTAGTTTTGTCTGAACTATAGCGACTTTTATTCTGAACTATAGCTAGTTTTGTCTGAACTATAGCCATTTTTTTCTGAACTATAGATATTTTGTCTGAACTATAGCTATTTTTGTCTGAACTATAGCTAGTTTTGTCTGAACTATAGCGACTTTTATTCTGAACTATAGCTAGTTTTGTCTGAACTATAGCCATTTTTTTCTGAACTATACATATTTTTGTCTGAACTATAGCCATTTTTTTCTGAACTATAGCCATTTTTATCTGAACTATAGCTATTTTTGTCTGAACTATAGCTATTTTTATCTGAACTATAGCCATTTTTATCTGAACTATAGCTATTTTTGTCTGAACTATAGCTATTTTTATCTGAACTATAGCCATTTTTATCTGAACTATAGCTATTTTTGTCTGAACTATAGCTATTTTTGTCTGAACTATAGCTAGTTTTGTCTGAACTATAGCGACTTTTATTCTGAACTATAGCTAGTTTTGTCTGAACTATAGCTATTTTTTTCTGAACTATAGATATTTTTGTCTGAACTATAGCAATTTTTTTCTGAACTATAGCCATTTTTATCTGAACTATAGCTATTTTTGTCTGAACTATAGCTATTTTTGTCTGAACTATAGTTAGTTTTGTCTGAACTATAGCGACTTCTATTCTGAACTATAGCTAGTTTTGTCTGAACTATAGCTATTTTTGTCTGAACTATAGCCATTTTTATCTGAACTATAGCCATTTTTATCTGAACTATAGCTATTTATGTCTGAACTATAGCCATTCTTTTCTGAACTATAGCTATTTTTGTCTGAACTATAGCTATTTTTATCTGAACTATAGCCATTTTTATCTGAACTATAGCTATTTTTGTCTGAACTATAGCTATTTTTATCTGAACTATAGCCATTTTTATCTGAACTATAGCTATTTTTGTCTGAACTATAGCTATTTTTGTCTGAACTATAGCTAGTTTTGTCTGAACTATAGCTATTTTTGTCTGAACTATAGCTAGTTTTGTCTGAACTATAGCCATTTTTTTCTGAACTATAGATATTTTTGTCTGAACTATAGCCATTTTTTTCTGAACGATAGCCATTTGTATCTGAACTATAGCTATTTTTGTCTGAACTATAGCTATTTTTGTCTGAACTATAGTTAGTTTTGTCTGAACTATAGCGACTTCTATTCTGAACTATAGCTAGTTTTGTCTGAACTATAGCTATTTTTGTCTGAACTATAGCCATTTTTATCTGAACTATAGCCATTTTTATCTGAACTATAGCTATTTATGTCTGAACTATAGCCATTCTTTTCTGAACTATAGATTTTTTTGTCTGAAATATAGCTAGTTTTATCTGAACTATAGCTAGCTTTATCTGAACTATAGCTGAACTATAGCTGAAAGATTGTTTCACCCTGTATAAATGTTGACAAGCTTTGTCACAAACAAACTTAATGAAACTCTCGAAAAATGTAAAATAAAGAAACATTTTCATTGCCCTCTTGTAAACATATTTTTAACTTTATATAACTTTATACTCACTTTTTGTAACTTTTTATAACTTTTTATAATTTTTCATAACTTTTGTTAACTTTCAGATAACTTATGATAACTTTTCCTACATACTTATGTTAAGTCTGTTAACATAGTTATAAAAAGAAAACATGCAGTTAAGATACTTACGATAAGTTCATTAACCATTTATATTTTACCTAAACATTTACAACTTCTCGTAGCCGGCTAGCTAAACTTACAAATTACTTATCAAATGTTATGGCACTTTACATACTTGCAAGCAGGTTATAGACATGTTATAGAAGGTTTATATACATGCTGTACCTCGTCTAATTCTGTAAACTCATATAACTTCCAGCGTGCAGTCTTCGTACTGGGTGGCGCGCTTGGTCCGGATTTGTCGCCTGTGACGCCGCGGCACTTTGTGTGGCAGGCGTGGCACTTGGTGACATCCACCCTCGTTTCACGTGGCAGGCGTGGCACAAAACTCGCATCCACCGTCGTTTTGCGTGGCAGGCGTGGCACTCATGGTACTGGGTGGCGCGCTTGGTCCGGATTTGTCGCCTGTGACGCCGCGGCACTTTGCGTGGCAGGCGTGGCACTTGGTGACATCCGCCTTCGTTTCACGTGGCAGGCGTGGCACAAACTCGCATCCACCGTCGTTTTGCGTGGCAGGCGTGGCACTCATGGTACTGGCTGGCGCGCTTGGTCCGGATTTGTCGCCTGTGACGCCGCGGCACTTTGCGTGGCAGGCGTGGCACTTGGTGACATCCACCTTCGTTTCACGTGGCAGGCGTGGCACAAAACTCGCATCCACCGTCGTTTTGCGTGGCAGGCGTGGCACTCATGGTACTGGGTGGCGCGCTTGGTCCGGATTTGTCGCCTGTGACGCCGCGGCACTTTGCGTGGCAGGCGTGGCACTTGGTGACATCCACCTTCGTTTCACGTGGCAGGCGCACAAAACTCGCATCCACCGTCGTTTTGCGTGGCAGGCGTGGCACTCATGGTACTGGGTGGCGCGCTTGGTCCGGATTTGTCGCCTGTGACGCCGCGGCACTTTGCGTGGCAGGCGTGGCACTTGG